ACCTGCAGAACCTAATTATAATTTTACACTCGATTGGTTCGATCGAGCGGCTACCTACCGTCCCACCCAGTGAAGCATATCAACTTGGGTCCCTGGTCGATTTCTTTCATGGCCAAAACATCTTCCTATCCGTCCGGGTCGACCGAACATTGCGACCCACCGGACCACGGGTACAAAGGGTGAGTCAAGGTCAATACGTGGATTTGGGGTACCCCCCCCGTAAGTCGGCAGTCCAGCACAGTGGATGTTTTGGGGGCTCAACACCCAGTTTTAGGAACCCACTCACCACGATCTCAACTGGACTCACTTTTACGCTTTTGAACAGGCCTTTAAAGATAGTGTAGTCAGAATAAACAATGTACTACGCTGATAAAATATGTTTTGTTACACTTGCAATGAATAATACACAATTTGTAACATTGCAAAATAACTACGGTTACCCCGATGAGCTTGAATAACACCGGCACCTGTTATCATCATACACGCCTTCCTTATTTCCAGTGCTAATGAAAGTTGTATGCAATGTTCTGGTCGAAACCAAGCATTTTCATTATCCAGGGTATAAATGTAACAGAAAAAATAGAGATTGAAATTAAATGCTATGTTCAATGTTTTTTATACACTGTATTCGTTTTGTTTACAATTTTCACAAAAATGACAAAGTCTGTGCTACAACCTCAAAGTCAAAAATCATAGGACGAGATTCCATTCATTGCACACGAGTAATAGTAGCGACACTCGTCTATACGTTCGCTGACACGGGTCCTTGTCATTGTTGAGATTCATCCGACTAAAAACTTTATCATACTTAGCAGAACACAGGAATTTTATTTACACCCAACAACTTTCGAGTTATAATTTCATTAAAGAATTGCTAAATTCACATCCTTTTCCCTTAGATTCACATCCTTCCTTCAAAATCTTATATATAAAATCACTATTCATTTTAAGATTTGTTTTCTGACAAAAGTATCACTCGATTGTCTAGGCCATTAATTGGCAATAAAACGTAAGAAATACCTAAGATACTACTCACGCCTGTGGTCTATCTCCTCCAGCGTTTACTAAAAGGGCACCACGCAATAGAATTCTTCCTCCTCCCGAGGTTGAGTATGCCAGTCGGGAGCAACTTAAGGATACTGTGCAGACGTTCGCACGTGGCCAAGGCTATGCTGTTACGATTAAAAGTTCGATTACAGGAAAGCGTGTCTACCTTAAATGTGATCTAGGTGCCGTAAACGTACCAAATGTTGGAAAAGAGTGCCAACGCCAGACCAGCTCACGCCGAAATGATTGCCCGTTCCTTTAAGTAGAAATTTTGAACTCTTGATGGCGTCCTTAATGATACCAACGACAATCTCGTCGGTCACAAATGCGCCAGACTCCATCGCGGCTTTGATCTTTTTTCCCATGTCGGTGCCAGCAGCTACAGCAGCGCGCAAGATGTCGCCCGTAACCAAGTGACAGGGAAACTACTCGTCTTTGTCCAACGGCGATTGCATACCTTGTATGTATAAGATTTGAAGATAAGGTGTAAATCTAAGGAAAAGGGGGGGGGGTGTATTTTTAGCAATTCCCTATAATTATTAGATGCCCAGCATCAGCGATGTGATCGATTAAGCAAAATACCTGGTGAATCAAGCTTGGATATGTGTAGCAAGATCAGATTTTCGAGTGACAAAAGGTCTGATGAGGATCAGACAGTGAAAGGTGTACATAAATTCTCGTGTGCTCATTTGGAGATGTAAAGTTAATTATGAGTCGCACAGCCCGTTTAAAGAGTTTATACCGCATATGTACTAAATTTTTGTACGACCCATCTCGACGGTTGCGGTTAATTAAATGACAAAAGTGAATTAAAAGTAGCTACACACAGCTTATTAGCAAGGGGACATACAGTAGGAGCGGAATTCCGCTCGACAAAAAAATAAATTTTTGAGCTCGTCCCAATACTATTTCTCGCTGCAAAAAATCACGCGATCTGAATCATTACTTTACAACACGATATTGTTAGCTTTCACAGGTCAGCCTACACCCTCCTCCTATTACGATGCTATCCAATACTGGATTATGGATACAATGTCGCTGCTTAAACAATTTTTAACTTTGACGCAAAAGTGTGGTCACTTCTAGATTAATCTGATATATAACTAGTTAAGGCTATCGTTATAGACCAGGCTCTTCAAATTGCATTGCCTGGTTGTATGGTAAGAGAATGAACTTGCAGCAGTGTCTCATAGAAAAGATGTTTAATTCGCTAGAAAAATACACACCTACTAGAATCTAAGCCACAATCGAATCGCAATTTGCCACATTTACCTAAAACATTCCTTACTGATACTATGCGCACGGTATCGAATATTCTTACTGTCTATCTATATTTTACTGTACAAGAATATAAACTTAGTCATGGATGCTATTATACAAGCTTAAACAATGAACTTCCGTACGCCTAATCTAAAATAAGGCCTGATCTTGCCGAACTCATTCATCTATCTTATCAGCTTGAGCTGCGGCTAGCACGTTAGATTAAAAAGAAACAAGCTATCGTCGCGAAGGAGAGACCACGCATGATCTCCAGAAGACATTTCGCTGCCATTTTTTTAACTAAATGATGGGAGAGAGAATAAGCAAATAGGGAGGAGGCAAACTTTGCGATATTAATTTATCTACTTCGATTTACGGAAGAAACTACAATTTAGGTGTGAAAATGTGTGTAATATAAAGTAGCGTGACCTAAAAGTATGCCAATAAAGGTGGGCACATACGCACTTGCGGACACTTAAGACATGCTAAGTTGCTTAAGTTGTTTTAATCGACAACTTCGATTCGCTAATGGAAATCAGCGATAGCGATTGGTACCGAGATAAACATTCTGTACCTTTTTATGAACAGGAAAGATACGTGAGCTACATGGGATGTGATGACTGGCTTAAACCCAACCCTTTTTTAAGTCTGGTATAATTGGTATTTCATCACCACAAACGGGCTGTTCTGATGTATCGGTAGTGAGCGCTCGCCAGCGCAACCGTGGATGACAACAAGTTCTAGCTGCGGCATGTTGAAAAGATCATTTTCACTTATAGCGCCTCCTTCATCGTTGCTAATCGCTGTGCTTGTTTGTGATCATTCGTGCTCCTTAGTAAGAATGTCTGATCGAGCCTTGAGCGGGAATAAAATAACGGTAAAAATAGGTGTTTTTCTAGGGGACCGTTAATCTCCCCTCCTTTTTTGCTAATATACCCTGAGTTTAATATAACGATACATGATGGGCTTATTATAGGTCGAGAACAGTGGTAACAATATAGCGTCAGAGAAAAATTAAAGTCCATAATTGTCGTTATCGTATACTAATAAACTCTTTTTGTGCAGATATGTCATGTGGTGGACGTCATTGTTGGCGGCCTATCAGCCAAGTTAGTGATGTCCTTAAAACATAATTTGGAGTGGGTGAGTGTAAAGCCATCATATCAAACCAAAGCAAGCAACAATCAGCATCACTGATGCAATAAACAAAGAATTTGTAAAGTGATGCGGCCGTTGCATTAGGGTGGGTCACGGTACACAACAATGTGTAAGATCAATCGAATCAACACCGACGCCTACATAACTTAACAAAGCCAATTTGATGATCGTAATAACTTTGATTGCATTCCTCAGTTCAAGTCTATTAACTTTGCATGCACGAACAGTCGTGCAATACTGAAATGAACGCTTGCTTACACGAGCACGTAGTTTTCTCGGCTTCATTGGTAGCGCCAACACCTGGATCATTGTAAAGTAGTATATCACTAGTTGCGGTGCCTTGACGTCTTTGTAGTAACAGGGGCTTCCGCATGCGCGCTCCGCGTGCACGACTTCTAAATGTCTGCCTGCATGCTATTATACGGACCTACACTGCACATAACCACATCCGGAACAGCACAGGAAAATAGAGAGTTGTTCGGTAACGAACAGGACAAAAAAGATAGAACGCGTTGCGCGCACGCGACACGAATGACTCAAATACGCATAAATAAGAAATGTGAAAGAAAGTAGAAGCCGCACCACCCACTAGCGCGGAAACCTTTGCCTGTAAGCGTGATGGAGATCACTTGTTGTTGTGGAGGTGTCCGACTTTGAAATAAGACAAGCGATTGAGAGCATCTGCGGATGTAAAAACTTCGAGTCCGCAAACGTTTCGGCAAAGCTTGACACTATCTTGCGCCCAAAGAACACATAAGAACGATTGCGAAACATACTGAATCAGAGCCAGTAGATGTTTAAAACTGGCTATTGTGATATAATACCCTCAAGGCATGTCTATAAACTCAGCAAACAGTGTAGTTTTATATGAACTGAGGGAATTTTACTAGAAAACTGAGGGGAGATTAACAATTTCCTTTTCCTTTTGGCTGGATATCATTCGGGCATAATCGTTTTCGACACATACCGCCAGAAAAATGAAAACCTCGTTTCTATTCCCATCGAATCTGCCGCTTTTAGTATTAAAACTGCTGATAAGATTGTGACATTAATTTTTGGGCGACCAAAACTTCTTGTTCGAGTAGAATCCAACAATCCAACACCTTTTGAGTTCACTGCGTCAAGAAACCTAAGACCTCTGAAAAACGATCCGACCAGTGCAAGGCTTTTCTTCGATATCTGCACTATAATAGTCCCAAAAAACTGCACAAAACGCTTCAGAATGAGCTCTTTTCGCTGGTGCTATTTTTATTTAAAATACAGGCTGTGTCAAAAATGCGAGCGAAACGTGTGATAATCCACAAACGAACGGAACAGAGTAGTACGCTTTAACGACACCGTAACGAGTTAAGGGTAAAGAAAACGTAAGAAAGGGTGACGAATCATACGTGATTTTTGTCGACGTTGCTTTTATCACGCAGATAAAGTAACGATTTCATTAAATTTAACGAAGCCATTGCTTGTGCAATCAAACGTGTTGAGCAATTGGAGCGAGACATTCGTAGTCTACGCTTTATCTATGCACCATACAAGATTCACTCCGAAGGTAGCCTGATCCTTCCATCAGTCAGAACTTGTCTTTTCAGGTCCACAACATTCTGTCCAAGGCGGTTCATACGATGTGTCAGCGTTTTAGCCCAACTGCGAATGCACTTCGTGCAGCAGCAGCCATCGGGGTTCATAACATCGCCATCGTGCGGGCCATAAGTGTCTGCAAGATCTGATTCGGTATCAGACACCTCTGCCGCAGACTCTAGTGAAACAAAGCTGGACTTGAATGCAGATGTGTCCGTATCTGCAAGATCATCCTTGATGATGTGGATGTTCGAATCTGCCTGTACAGAAGTGGCCTTCGCTAAAGTCGCGTATGCGCTCTGGCGTGCAGAAGCTGGATTTTCTGTCGTCGCCAATCGAAGCGTTGATGGGGATCCAGGTGCTGCTAAAGGCGCCGATGGAGACGGAGATAAAGCAACTGTCTCTGGTTCTGGCTTTGACGATGACACTTCTGATGACTGCTCAGACTGAAGCATCAGGAGCGATGCCAAGTCGGGTATCGCTGGAGCTTCTGTATACCCCAATGGCTCTGTCTTGCTTTGTGACGGTACTGTCGCCTCCAGATCATTACCCACTGAGTTTGTAAGAACGCCCTGAATCGAGCAATCTGGCTCGCTTTTCGGCAGAAAGGATGTCGATTTCTTCGTCAAGGTAGCAACTACGTCTGTACTGATTGCTGGACTTGTCTCCATCTCTGACGAAGCAGCAGGCGACCGAGGTATTGCCGCCTTAGCAAAGGACGAGTCAGACTTTGATTGCACTCTTGTCGGACTAGGAACTGTCGCTTCACACCTTAGTCGCATCTCCGCCACATGAGACTGCTTTTCTTCCAATATCAGCGGCAACGTTGCAACAAGCACAGATCCAGCTGCAGCAGCAACGTTGTCTGTAGTTTGAGTTGGAGCTACACCTCCTGTTGATATTGCGATAGTTGTTAACTCTGAACTGGACCGAGGTGTTGCTTGATTTGACGAAAGTGTTGCACTTCGATTGTGTTCCGGATGCGCCGTTGAGTGGCTGGAAGATAACTTTGGGGCTACACGTGCTTGACTCACAAATTTGGGCTCCACATCAATCCGAGCGCGCTTGCTGCAAGGTTCCTCGCGCGCACTTCGAGCCTGAGTCTGATGTTCGATATCGTCAGCATCTGTCTCCATATTCATTGCTGACTGAGTGGGCGCTGATTCCTCCACATTGATGGGTAGCTGTGATTGGGTCTCCGTAGTTAGTTGAAGAGTTCGAGCAGGCTCGGTCCTGGTTGAGTGGTCCCCAATCACTGACAATACTTGTGGCCTGTCGAGCCTAAGGTAAGCGAACGACATACGATATTTCCGTTCCATATCTGGCTTCAAGCGCAGCGAATACTTATTTTCCCCACATTCGCTCAACCAGCTCCAAAACTGATGGTCGTAAAACCCCATCGATTCCCCAGGATGCAGCGGAACCGGTATGGCTGGCACTTTGCTATCTTCTGTCTGGCCGACTGCTTCCATTGTCCCATGATTCTTATCCATCTCTTTCTGGAATATCTCTAATGAAATAACTCGTCTCCCTAAAAGCTGCCAGCGTGCCTTGTTTTGGAAGCAGCGTGAATCTTCAATTGGTGATTCCAGCGGTGGCAGAGTTTGGATCCATGTAGAATTCGACTCACGCGCCTGATCGGATGGTGAATATTTCCAAGGTACTTGTTTTTTGACTTCGCTGCACGAGGCACGTTTTTTCTTCAAAATCCTTATTTCCGCGTTAGTATAGGGCAATATAGGACGACCTCTGTCACAGTCACTTGGTATGCTCCGCGCAGGGGATCGTGATCGAGAATATGGGCTATGGCGCGAAGCGACTTGCGAATCAACTTCGCGGTCACTCGGCTCGGGCATTCCAGCCCTCATACATGCGAATGACTGCCACAAAGTACGCTCTTTTGCTGGATTATCACGTAGTGACATCAGTTGCACGTCGCGCGAGACCAGCCATCGCTCAAACTGTTGTGTGTACTGAACCATCGTTTCGCCTGGCCTTATAATGAGCGGTATACGTACCATTGTTTCATCTGGTCGCCTTAGATTTTTTTCGCGTAGTATCCCATTACGCAGCTTTGTTATCTCATCCCGGAATACCTCCATCGGGACAACCCGCTTTGCAAGCAACCGTCTTCGAAGATTGTCGACCTTTGACGTAGCTTCGTTGCGAGGTGAAGTCGACCTATAGGCTTGCGGAAGCGATCTTTCATTGTGTCTCTTTCTGTCATACCGCCCTGATCTCGGTACCGATCGATTCCTGCGAGGGGTGTCACCAACCTCTTGACGGTAAAAATCACGCGAGGAAGACGCACGATCATCGTACCGACGCCGGCGATCATCATCACGCACTGATTGCCATGTACTAGTTGATCGAGGGGATTCGTGCGCAGCGGTGTACGAAGCTGCTTGACGATGCTCTCGTGGACGACTTTGATCGTACCGCGACCTGTCTGATGTCGGGCCTGGAACCATCAAAAGTCCACTGCCAGAAACAGAACGTCTTGTGGGATGCCGTTTAGTTTCGTTGGTGGCCAAGTGGGGTCGTTGTTGTGGCTTAACAAATGGTTTGCGATGAAAAGATCGTGATTTTGAACGCGACCGGGAGCGCGAAGCAACTCTCGCTGACTTAGTGCTAGGTCTATCCGCACGCGTATCTGCGAACTGCAATCGGTACTTTCGTTCAGCCATTGGATTGTCACGTATAGCACTGAACGAGAGCTCCCTTGAGACAAGCCACCGCACGAATTCACGCTCGTATTGTTGCAAACTCTCTCCAGGCCACAAAGGCGCGGGGATTTCTCCGGGCGGTCGTCGATTTGATACACGAAGCTCTTGGCAATATGCGCCCACGGGTAGTACCCGCGTTGCCAGAAGCTCGCGACACGATAAGGGGGAGCTTCTGCGAGTAGGAGGACTGCGGTTCATGCTGCGCTACTGATATTTTTGAACGATGATGTCATCGATCGTACAATCTGGTCGATCAAATGAGTGCAAGTGCCCTGGATTGATTGCACCAGTTGCTTGAGTTAAGTAACCGCAAAACTAAATATTCGCTGTCGTAGCAAAATCACTTGCTCCCTTCGTCCGAAAGCCAGAGTTCATGGCAATCCTCTCAAATTTCGACGACTTGATGGACAAGAGGCCTACGCTGGACGCGCTGCCTCCACCCCCATGTGAGTTCGGTATCGCAAAACAAAATGGGCTAGTTAGTGACGAAGATACACAGCCTTCGTGTATCGATACCACCGACGCGCACGTGGAGAACCGGCATGATCAGATCCACACGAGTACGCAGGTCGTGTTCGAGCCCCCTTCCTCTCAACCCAACGAAGACGGTCAGGAGTCCCGTATCAGTGTAGGTGAGAACGCAATTGCTATCTCATGTCCAGAGTATAGCAATGCCATCTTACCTGCCACGAGTGTTCAACCCCATGTGGCGAATACAAACCCCTATGACCAATTACAGCCTGTGATGCCGCCCAAAGAAATCAAGGAGGAGTCCAAAACTTGCCACAAATGTGGTAAGGTGTTTGCAAGCAACCAGGGGTTGCGAGGGCATCTCAGTAGAGTAACACCTTGTGATCAAGAAAAGACAGCGTCTAGTACGACACGCAGTCGACCTGCATCGAGAACGTGCCCCAAGTGCAACAAGACGTTTGCGAGTTTGCAGAGTCTTCGAATGCATCGGAACAGAGTGTATCCATGTAATCAAAATACAACGAAGCCGACCGCATTGGCGCCGGTAAGTACTGAGGAATTAAGGAAAGAAAATGAACGGAAAGCCAGGTCAAGGTATCAGACCCGTAAATCTTATCTTAAAAAACGTGGACGTTTGGATGAATTGGAAGACCGTCCTTTGGAGATTCTTCGATTGCCTAGCGATTCGAATGAAACAAAAGAGACCGAGTGGATGTCAGACTTTGAAAAGAATAGCCTGGATATACCACCACTCGGAGGAACCGAAAGCAAACGATCTCGATGTGGCGATACTAAGAAACCGCATCTGCAGGAGAAAATAGTGCAAAAAGACAAATCGGCTGAGATCTGCGCCGATGTGTCTAAGTCACCTCCGCAAAGCCCGCTCAGAACTTCGCAATCGGCGAAAGCGATTCAAAGCACGAAAGGAAGCTTTGTGCATCGTTCAGCCAAATGTCACGGTGGTGATCTACTTGCGGGAGGGTGTAGTTGCCCAACGTGTGTTCGGCGGTGGGCGAGGAAACTCATGAATAAGATGCAACAACTTGAAGACGAAGTGTTGAGGTTGCGGCAGACGAAACGTGGTGCAGCTGAGTACGCTCAATCGTCTGGATTAACAATTCCAAGACTAGACGAATATTCTCAAACTGCGAGACCGCTTTTATCCGCAGCAAAAGATGAAAACGTACCACACGGCAATTTTGGTGTCGCTCATACGTTACAGAGTGGACCGGAAAACAGGTTCAAGTCGCCTATAGCGCCCTCTCAACCGTTGGAGTGCCCAGTGCCTGGGAGCATGGATGGCAGAACGCTGTATACAATGACTGAACCTGACATCCGGCCTCCCTATCTTGAAGGTAACGAAGGTGGTGCCCATTGTATTGATGCTGATCGACAGCTAGTTCTGTCCCTTTTGCGAGCTCTTGGTTCCGACAAAAAGAGCCTTATGGACGCGTACGAGCACATGAATGATCAGATCCTGCTGAACGAAAGGACGGTTGAAGAATCCAGCAATCACGTCCAAGTTCTTGTCGGGTATGACCCCGAGACAGCCATGGACTTTCGTAGGCAAGTTGCTGAACTACGCGCATCCATACATACTGAGAAAATCAAGCGTGATGCTACAGTGGCCGCTCTCATTGCGCACGTGTGGAAACCCCGCCGAGATGAGCTACGAGAATATCTCAGGACGCAATTCCGGGATTCCACTCGTGATGAGCAAGCCTATCATATAAGGTTGGCACAGATAACGAGCCAGGTCTCCGTGAAAAGTAAAATTATTTCCGAATTGGAGAGGCGAATGGACGCCCTTGGAGAACAAGGTGAAGGTGGTCGCTCGAGATATGCGGAGATGGGCGAGCTGTCAAGTAAGATGGCAGCTGAATATGCTGCTAAAATGGCCCTCGAGAGTGAACGCGAGAGTCTCTATGTGGGCCTCGTCAAGTCCAGTACGCGCATTCGGTCACTCGTTAGAAGTGCTCTCCTGTGACAAAAGTGAGAGCCGCAATTAACTTAATTGACTTTCGACGTGGGGATTTTACTGTTCAGTGTCCGAGGGTAGGTGCGGTATCGACAGCTCCACGTGAGTCCTGAGCGCCTTTCGTTATCTTAGGTAGCCATTGGTCGCTTTTTACGACACACGGCACCATAGCAATGTGTGGAGGAGGAATGTGTCAAGTTTACGGCACGTAGCTGTTTATCAGCACAAGCGAAATGCTCGTTTGTTTGGTGAGGAACATTGCCCCAGTCGTTTAGTCTTACTACCCAACTAAGCATACGTTCGTCGAGATGAAGCTTACTGTTCACCCATCAGGGTGCCAACAAGTTTGCGGCTGGAGCCCGCACCGAAGTACATGGCGCTGCCTCTATTGTAGTGGTCAGGTCCTCGGGACCCAGGGTAATACTCGCTACGACTGACCACGTAAGCGAACTCTTGCGAATTTTCTGGTAGAGCTTTCTCTATGTAACGACAATTCTGAGAGAAGCGCAGCTTGTCGTTGGCGCGTGGGATGCGTGGTGTACGACGCCACTCTTTTCTTTTATGGACTCAGTAAAAACACGTGTGGCGCTCGTGGGACACGCTATAACAAGACCTGCAAGTCCAGCCTCACAGGTCACGATCCCTTGCCTTACTCACTACAAGCATGGCTTGAATCGTACATGCTGTGGACGTCGCGATAGAGATGCGTGTATCTTTTTTTTAGAATCTATTGGATCATTTTGCTACAACAAGAGCTTCTCTTGACGTTAGGGTATGCCAGACGGTGATGGTCGTGGTAGTAAAAGCCGTCCCGTCAAGCGTGCCGCAAAGAAGTTAATTTCCTTCGGAAGACGAGATGCCAGGGTTGTATTTCAAACATTCTCTAGCCGTGAAGTACTCACGAGTGACACCTCGGTCGAGTTACATGGTACAAAACAGAACGATGAATTCAACACTGCAGAATGCTCCTGTGCCCAAGCGGACAGACGATTCATCTGCTACTGCTGAAGAATCAGCGAAATTGACAAAGCTCCAACAGCCCAGAAGGTGGCCCCAAGTTTCATAAAAGTGTCACAGCACGACTGGAATACATGAGGCCATTGCAGCTGCGACACTTAGGCGAGGATGTGGCTCACATGTGCAGCCAACCCACAAACAGTGATCTGCGTCAACACCCAGTTGAATAGAGCGCCTTAGCACAATCCGGGCGATCGAGTCCACCATGGAGGCGTGGAGTCGCGACACGACAGACGTGGCCGACCACGTCGCCGTAGTAGAGCAGCGTATTTGCAAATGTCGTCGATCGTCCTGCTTCGGAACTCGATGATGACAACAATATCCGCCTCGAAGGACAGGTGATAAGTTATCGAGCGTTGGTGATCGACAAAGTTGCCCGTAGCGTTCGTTAGTCGCTCAAGCAGCGGCTGGCAGAAAAGACACGTCTCATTCACGACAAGCACGACTGCGTCTGATTGTGAGGAGATAGGCGGGCTGCATACGATTGACACGGACGTCGACTTCGCGACAACCGTGTTATCGTCTTTGCGCCTATGTTAAAAGAAGAGGACAGTAGTCGTCGTGCACACGATGCCTTTACCAGCACATGAACGGCGATAGGCCAGCGGCTCCCGTATGCATATCCAGTAGGACAACAGAGCACCTGCAAAGTTCACGATGCGTATAGCCTTGTTTAGCAGGCACGTCTATCGGCGTCTTTTACCTTCATCACAGCACTTTTTCAGCCCGCGCAGTCACCTGACATCATCCTTTTGCGCAGCACCAGTAACGGATCGCTGTTTTCCCACAGCGTGGAAAATCTCCCGCTTCATGAGCTGTGGCTGCATCATTCTTGAGCACACCACTCAAACACCCAGCAACAATAGTAGCTATCAAATGCGAAAGGCAAGCCAGGTCAACGGCACGAACGACCAAACGTCAGGAGCCTTTACATAAATTAGCATTTTTGCCTGACCTTTTTAACCTTTTAGGCTTTTTTTCTGCTTTGCCAATCCCAAACTGTGCCTGCTATCCGATAGGCCTGTATCGCCAACAGCGGTTAAGCGACGGGCCAAGGTTTTCGACTGATCCTTCTTCAAAAAAACCTCGTTATTCTCACAATAATGTTGAGCCCTTTCACCTTTCTCCTCTGGCATGGCAGCTTCTACTGTTGTTAATGATGCCATTCTTGCTGTTCCGCCACGGAGCTGCGATGAGTTTCTACCAGCACGGCACCTCGATAGTCATAATGAAGCCGTTGACACCGCAAGAAGTACGTCATTAGCCAAGGCTTCACCGCTCGCATTCTATGCAGCAATTAGTGTGGGACTATGCGCTTTTCTCTCTGATGTACAAAGAGAAATACGGGGCTTCTCGATACAGGCAATGTCAGGACCGGCCCATGACCTTGCAAGACCGTAACACTACAGAGGTTGCGGTTGCTTCGGTCCCTGGGTCGGGCTTGAAATGCATGCACCCGACGAAAGTGTAAGTCGACGTTTTTATTGCACAGAGGCGGTAAAGGCCACCATCCTAATCTTATAAAATGCCACGCTACCGGTGATGCAGCGCACAACGCGGAAAGAGCGATATCGATACAAAGGTCATTCAGGTGCATCTGGCTGAAGCTGCTTTACGGGGACACACGAATGTGCAAGCTTGACGCTTTCGAGTTAAATATGAGCAAGTAAGGTCACCTTTTGCTTGTTTGCATGAAATTCTTGTCAAGAGAGGGGCTAGCACATGCGATCAGCTTCCAACGTTTTGGATAATGCTGTCCACTCTCCTTTGGGGCTTGTACCTGTCCGCGTGTGCTGTAAGCCGTAATACTCCGTGCATTTAGCTCAATGCTGAGCAAGAAATGTTTCAGAAAGCTGTACTCATGGTCGTGAACACAGTCGACCTTAGGCACTGTCACTACGTTGACGGATAAAGAACGATGGCGAGGGTGAACGTGTTAATGTCGACCCGATCGCGGCCACTATCACTGGGGCTCGCAAAAGTGGCCCGTCGCTTAACCCCTGTTAGCAATGCAATAATTAGGCCTACTACATAGCCGGCACGGTTTGGGATAAGTAAAGCAAAAAAAGTCAAAAAGGTTAAAAAGGTCAGGCAAAAATGCTGGTGTATTTACAATCTCCCTGATGTCAGCTGTTAGACAAGAAGCAGTGATTACGTCCAGGTGTCCTACGTGACCTTTGTCAAAAGACCGCGAGCGCCAGGACCGATATGGTCGTCGCGAATGCGTGCGAATAAGACGCAGCGTTGCAAAAGAGCGGCCGCTTCTCCGGCAGCTTGATCAGGACCGCATCACGCCTCTTCGACTGACCACTTTCGTCCTTCTTTTCATGCTAACGAGTAGGATGATGTGGGGTCTGGACCAGGTGTAATTTACAAGGGTCTTCGTCTTCACGGAACGATTGGACGAGAGCGGTAAATGGGGATCGAGATTGATTGCAATGACGGTTTTCGAGCAACGGTTGTGACATGTACCTACGAACTCATTCCTCTTTGACAGCGACACTGCGAGTCTCAGGAGACCAAGTTTTGGTTGCTCTCGGCACTGCGAACATTGTCCGCTTCATCGTCAGCCGTTACTTCACAGGTACTTTGCGTCGTGAGCTGTCGACCACTGCTTACTAGGTACCGTAGGCAAGCAGACGAGATCGCTCGGACGGACGTCGCACAAGGTTATTGAAGCCCGACCCCTCGATGAGACTGTCTATGTTTTTGCTCTACCCAGATGTGTAGTTACTTTTCGACCGACGAGAGGACGCGTAATTCACACAAGCAAGTTAAACGCTACTGAAAAGGCTCACTCACTCTCTTTAGGCAGTCAGCACCATAGCCTTTTTCGATAACAGTAGCGGTAACATGACGCGCGCTTTGACACACGCTTTAGAATGTTTCATGTGAAAGAAGGTGTGTGTATCGTATTGCATCCTGGTCTTCTACATGAACATTGCTACTACGTGCACGTCTTGTAATTGCCCTTTCTTAAAAGGCCAGCAGAATGTATGCCTCTGAACGCCTCACACGCTGCAGGCACGACACAAAGTCACGGTTCGGCATCGAATCGGATTTCCACTCAGTCTCTCAACGCATCTCTGCAGAGCTGGGTTGTCACGAGCTTGCTCAGGATGTGCTCCCAGCGACCATTCGTGGAGTAGTCGAAAAAAAACCGTCGATGGGGAAATAGAACCGCATCTCGTGATGGTTGTAGCATCGATAGACCTACCGTCAAGTAGGGTTGATTGCAATCTGCTTTTTCGTCACTTGGCGTTTGTAGCAAAAGGCGTCGAGTCCCACATACTTTAATCGACTGACACCACCGAGGCCGAGTAAAACCAATACGCCCACTCCGACTCTATAGCCAGTCTTGGACCTCGTGACATTTCGCTCCCCTCCCCCGCAGTGTGGGGGCGGCTAGCCCGATTGGAAGCTCGTCGCCCAGTCCGCAATGTCTGCGGAACCTCTGGAAAGCAGCTACAGTCTGCACTCTCGCCGTCTACAAGAGCCGCAGCCACAAGAGCCGTGCAAGACGAGCCAACCGACCAATCGATTCTTCGTGCTCCTCGCCCCGTTCTCGGCCCTCGCTCTGCTGCTCGCGATCATTTTCTATTCGATTAATGTGGGCCACTCGATCTACTCGGTCTTCCTCCTGCAAGGCTGTCTGGCCGTCGGGATGCTGGAGATTAGCTGGTGGCACTACCGTATTCGGCAACGGTTCTTGGCTTCACTGGAAGTGACGTCTATGGCGGACAGTTTAGCGAGGGACGGAGATCCGGAATTGTCGCTCGCTGGTCGAGAGCAGTACGATCGGGCGCTGGAAGAGACGATGGAGCCCAAGGCATTCGCAGTCACCAGCTTGACCTGCAGGTGGTTACCGGATGGACGTGGTGTTGCATTTGTGGTGGCGTTGGTAGCCGCGTCGGTTGCTGCTGCAGTGAGCGTCGCTATTGCCGAACTCACTGAAAGCTCAGTGACTGTATGTGCTGCAGTGGGTGCGTTCGCCGGTGTCTTATGTGCCTGCTTGGCCCCGACACCAGGTGACGGCATTGCTATATTCATTCACGTGGCCGCGCTGACTGCGACGGCGATGAATACCATGTACGTGTATTACACGGGCTCGGTGACGAAGATTGCAATTGTGGACTACCTATTCGTGGCCCAATCTGGCTGGATGACCATTGCAATTTCACGGATAATTGTGTCAAAGAAGTTGCTCGAGTGCTTTCTGATGGTATCGTTGGATACGGTCGCACTACTTCACGTGACAGTAATTATGATGGAAATGGTAGACTTTGTTGAGCATCCGGGCGCTGATGATGTACCTCACGAGCTTGATGCGTTCTTCATTACGATCGTGTCGGCTGAGTTTGGCCATTACCTGTTCAGTATAGTGACTGGTCGGTTGATGCCTTTTTGTTTCTGGCACTGGAAGTATACTCCTCCACGAATGTGGGGGGCAGATTTCGTCGTGTCCGTGCTGTTTGGCGTCGCCGGTATGAAGATTTGGACAGCTATCGCCTCTTTGAATATGAGTACGTGGAACACCATCGCACTACTGGGGGCTTTGGGATTGTCCCAGATAGGACGCTCCTTTATATCTTTGACTCAAGAAACTGCCAGGGTGCCTCCACGGACTTGTGCAACGTTTGATGTCTGGAACAATGGAATTGTGGAGTTGATTAATCCGTTCCTCGTCGGGTGGATTGTGTTCCATCCGTTTGCCAAGAAGATTGTAGGGAAAGAGATCGAATACTGACGAGCCCGTCGGCGGGTTTGAGAGATGATTTTGGAGCGAAACTGGACGCTACTTATTTATTACAGAAGAAGCTGTTGGATGTTGATTAGAACGCGGAGCGGTTAATTAATGTATTGATCGGATAAGAAACAGCCACTATTTTGCGTCTACTTAGCGCTGCTGCAGTGTTTATGAAGTTTCCGTCACTTTTGTCCAGCCTCCGCTGCTGCTACCTTTCGTGTCTACTTCAACACCCGTCACAGTGGCATCGCAGTTTAAGCTTCTAAACGTCTCAGCTGCGTTAGTATGCTGTTGCTCTTCTCGCTCTTTCGCTCGCAACTTTTCGGCCACGTTGAAGATACCTGCACCCCATCACGATAATGTTAGCTCACTAATCGATCGCAGCGCAGTACCGGCCGACTGCATACCATTGGTCTGTTTCTTGCAGTTATAGCATCGCGATGACTTTTTAAAGTGCTTCAGCGCACATGCCTCACAGAAAAAATGACCGCAACTACATCGACGTACGTGGTCACAAGGCAGATTATACACAAAGAGGTGAGGATTGTACTCATCCCGATCACAGTTGCTGTTTGTGACGAGCGTACATTGTCTCCAGAGCGTTGCGAAAGGGTCCACGGCAAATTGTGCAGGCGAATTGCTCTTCATCGCCTTTCTTGTTCCCGCTTTTGTCCTCCTCATCACTTTCTTCGTCAGCGTCTATTCAAAACCGAGCCATAGAGATAAACGTAAGGTAAATGTCGAAACAACTGGCGGAAAAGCATCAGCTCGAAAACCAACCTCGGCCCTCTTGCAGTCGCTTCTGACGTTTCTTTTCCTTCTCTGCATACTCCTGTTCAATCTTCCACCCACTTTTGTAATCTCCTCGGTCGTGGAGGAACTTGCAGCTGTCACCGTAGCCACAAAACCCCGTTTCCTTGTAATCTTTGCAGATATCAGGCTGGTAGTCAAAACGGGAGATCGCTCGCGCCCAAGTCTGGGCTCGGATAGGGCCTTGTGTACTGTAAAAGCACAAAATCTGAGTTGAAGCATTCTACGATCCAACCGATCACTTATAATGACGTACCCAGTGTATTTATTCATGCCAATCTGGGATTCCTTCTTGGTAATGTAACTCTTGTAAGCAGCTTGGCCTCGATAGACCTTTCCACTGTCTGTATCAGCACTGCCATCGGTATTGGCCTTAATGCTTCGCTCCATAACCGCACGCGCATCACTGGACAAGAGAGAAGTACAACCAATAAGTATCCACGCCTGACGTCCCTCTCCTTCACTGATCGTCGTACCGATCCTTCTCTGTGTCAATCTGCGTCTCATAAGTAGCATCCCCTGCATACTGCTGGGGCACGATCTCGCGTTCGGACTCGACGAGCCGCGTCTGGAGCACGTTCTTGGCTTTCTTCACGCCTCCAGTCTGTCGGACATTTAGACACCAACGATCAGTGGACGGGGGCAAGAGGACTCACTTTTTGCCAGCAACACACAAGATTTCTACCGAAAACGTGTTGACTGGGCGTCGATCGGTACTCGTTGAGACGCCAGCGACGTCTTCATCCACATTGGAGTCCGTTGTGCTCGGAATCTCCTCGTCCTCAGCGACGCGTCGGCGTTTATTCGTCTTGGGCTTCACGCTTCTGAACATTTTGAAGGTGTGGGTGTATCAATTTGGACAGGTAAAAAAACGAGAGATGACGGGAAGTCACGCAAATTAAAAAGACGATTCAAAGCTTCGGTCGTTTATCCGGATTAACTCGCAATCGCTCATTTATCGCCAATACGACGGATATGCAGTGTCGATTCTTTGTGGGACACAATTAAAGCCCGCCGTGCTGCTTAAGTAGCGGCTCGAGCTTGCCCTCTTTGTGCAGCTCTTGCACGCCAGCGTTTCCGCCAATGGACTTGCCCCCGACAAACGCGTTGGGCACGGTTTTTGCCCCGTGATCTGCTCCCGAGCGTGCTGCTGCTCGCTGCCGTGGGGAGCTGGTCCAGCTCCACAACTTTGTAACGGACTCCAAGTCGCGTCAGCAGCATTTTGGTCGCGGGGAATGCGGACAGTAGGTCTTGCTGTACACCACGACGGGGCCGCGGCGATTGGGGCTTCCACGGATTCCTTGGCGCTCACCATGTGAACTGACTCTTCTGTCTTGCTTCAAGCTTAAAGTGAATCTGGATCCTGCTGACCCCGATCTGTCCAGAGAAAAGGACCTGTAAGGTTTCGTAGCCATAGCTACGTGGCCTTGGATCCGTAGCGCGTTACTCTCGTAAGTCCGTCTCGTCTGACTGAGGCTTTTGGGATCTTTTTGAACGTTGAGAATCGCGTGTCCGTGCACTATCGAGCAGCTGGCGTAAATATACGTGCAAGCTCGCTGAACATTGAACGTGGCCATGGTCGTGTATTCTGTCCTGATTATAACAGAGTACACGACTATGGCCAGATGTGGTAAAAGAGATGAAGAAACACACAAACTTTAACGCTGAAGAAACTCAAGAGCTTTAACGCTGCAATTACTATCGTGCGCACAGACATGTGTAGAAGAAAGCTACTGCTGACTAGCGGACACCACTACAACTTTATTACTGATTGCTTTACCTACTCTTGTGGATGTGTCAAATTGAAGCTGGCCGTGGACGGTGCCATCCCAAAGCCCTCGGGCACACGTAGCCGTGGAAAGTGATGGCTCAACAGCACCTTCGACATCGCGTTATGGTGGATACAATGGTGCACGGCAAAAGCCAGCTCGCGATTGAAAGTAGATTCGAAAGCGAACTCACGACCATCGGCTGACAACATAAAGGCAGCATGGACCGGCTGCGTCAAGACCGTTGGCGACACACCACGAAGCGTCTTCCTCAGCTGCTTGATCTGCTCGAGAGCCACGTGGCGGTCCTTCTCCACAAGCGTGTGGCGGTCGCGCACATCGTAATGCACCACGTTCTCGCTGCGACCTTCTTGCTGGGCCGCCATAAGCTCCAGCGGCATGCGCAGGTGGTCTAGAGAATGCCGTGTGTGTTGGCCCACAGACCCGTTAACAAGTGGACTGTGAAACGTATACACAGCGTCGTCGAGGCTATGCAGAAACGCTTCGTGTTGTCCCAATATAGCCAGTACGCACATGGGTGTGCCTGCGCTGTCTGCCGCAGCAGAGTTGGTATGCGCCATCCGCGTGCGAGTAAAGAAGCGTGCGACGACTCTTGAGCTTCGCATATTCGAAAAGAGAAAATGGCCAAAGGCGAAGAATCGGAAGACAGGGGATCGTCTTCGTATCGTAATTAGCGTGTACTAAAGTCATTGTGCCAGTGAGCCAACGTCAAGTGTGCTGTGAGCGCATTGAGTTGCTATAAGAATTTTTTTCCTAGAGGAATTTCGCCCGTTTGTTTGCTGCAGGGTCCTTTTTTTATCCAAGCATGCTTGCGTATACAGGCGACGCGATGTAAATACGTAGCTAACGATACTTCCATGTGTACGGTACCATGCTAACCCCGACACATATACGCTTGCATTTGACTAGTTTGAGTATGGACAAGCGGTATCGATTAAAACGTATGGTTAATTTATCCGTACGTGTTCTTGCGCGTATCTAAATTTTAGGTGGGATGGCGCGCTTTAGAATCACGGTATTGTCTTGTCCCAAAAGGCCAAAATACCGAACGATGGCCGCTAAGCAACTCGCTGGCCGTACGAAAAATGTGATGAATCCAGGTTTTGCCTACACAGGAGTAAGCCAGAATTTGGATGCAAAAACACGCTTTCACACCCACGTGCAGAGTTTGCCATGACCACGACATAACATTGAACAAATAGGAGCTCTTGTAGCAAAAAGAGCAGACTATCCTGACAATTACAGCGACTGCTCTATAGCAACCAACTTTATGACTGTTTCCAAATAATCAGTAGAGATGTTGATGCCCAACTACTGAAGGCGTCCTTGTTCGAAAATAAATCTGGAGCTCACCGGACAAAAGTAGATACCGATAAATCTCGCAAAATGCTGCATAGAACCCCACTCTGTCATCTTGCCTATGACACATACCAATTGACAAACTAACTTTCACTCTTGTTGCTGCCTCGATAGTAACGGAACCCTCTCTTGGCACATGCACAAGCAGATCGTTGCATGAACAGATTTTAGATGCATGTGACGACAGTCACATCGATGCAGCTCTACGACAAAGTATACCACAATGAGAACTACCCATTCATTCATTCATAGTTCTGGCAAAATTGAAATGGTCAAACTTTTCCATGCTAAAGATGTGCACAGTGTGAAGCGACGATTTGCTGGCGCTGAAACAGCACCTCCAAAACCATTATTGCATGAAACGTCGATCCTTGTGCTAGCGAACTATGCACGCGTACATTAAAGATGGCAGCGGCAGTAAGAAAACAGACCTGCCCGGTAGCACACATGCATTTGTATAGCCACTACCACGTCCAACACCCAACGGCTAGCTGAAACGACCCTCACCGAAAATTTACCGGTTCTCCTACCGCTTACTCAAGTTGACGAGCGCCGACAGAAATTTGGCCTGGTCGGCCGTGCGGTGCACATACACAATTTTGTCACCGCTGAACGAAAAGTTGCTGACCCCCTCAATGGTCACACGGCAGCTCTTCACGCTCTCAATCAGCTCCAGGAACTCCTTGTTCATACAGACGCCAGCACTCTTGATAATGCCCGAGAGTGTCCAGTGCACGCGGAAGTGCTGACTACGGGGGCCACCGCAGTCTACTTTGGCATGGTGAAGTCGGACGTCATCGAACAAGTACGTCGTACATAGGTAGTCAAGTACAAGAGCGTCCTTTCCACGCAAGTGCACTGACGAGTTCTGCGGACCGCTGACGACCGAGTCGTCGCGGAAGAATTTGATCGTCGATAGAATGTCACCCGAGTTGTAAGCCTCTTCCACACACTTGATGATCTGCAGCCGCTTGCTCTGAAGCTGCTGGTACTCTTTGTCCGTGATGGTCAGCACCACACTAGAAGCAGTGCCAACATCTTTCTTTTCCAGACTTCGGATCTCCTGCACGAGCATGTCCCGGTGCTGCTCAAGTCGCATCTTTTCATCTTCGAGGTTCGAAATGCGGTCGAGTTTGCGCTGCCGACTCTTGCGCGCGGCAATACGATTCCGTTCACGTCGTAAGTTCGTCTCGTCTACCGACCCGTCCGACTCGGAGCGATTGGATCCATTCGTGCTGCCCGACCCCTGGGCTGTCACGTACGGATCATTCTCATAGGCGGAAACCCCCGAGCTCTTTGAGTACTGCATCTGGTTAACCATCTCTTTCAAACTCTCGCGGGTCAGTCCGGCACCTGAATTGTCCATCACGTAGCGATTCACAGGCTCGACAGGCGACGACTTGTGCTTCTTCACAGCTGGTCCAGCACGTGGCTGCAGCGCAGCGGGAGAGCTGGAGTGGTAGTACCGGTCTTCGGTCATGGGGTCGTCGACAGTAGCGGAGAATGGCGGAGGGCCACGTGCGCTACTGACGCGACTGTCCCTGACAGCCCCACTACTGCTGCTAGCGGGTCCGTTACGGGACAAGTGCATTGAGCACACGCCTTCCGCCACGGCCTGGTTGGAGCACAGTGCAATAGCGCAGCGGTGCAGCGAGCTCAGCAAGTGCGCGCCTGCGGGGTCGCTGCTACTGCTGCTGCTGGGAACTCGTCCGTGGTTCATGATGCCTTTGTTAGAACTACTACGTGATCATGTGAGACACTGACGGCATTAAACCTCGAGGGAGACGCTGTTTAAGATTGGTATAGGTTGATGTTGCGCTGAGTATGCTTTGGGACAATAAAACCTCGGTGGATTTCTCGAGCTGTCACAGCGAAAAGAAAAGAGGCAGTGGACAAAGCAGAGCGAATTTGCAGCGCACGTGCGATGCGTTCGACCTGCGACTCCGATAGACAGTACGTGACAAACATGACCGGTGTCGTATAAATTAAAGAAAAGCTCATTAGTACAATACACGCGCGTGAACTCGTCCCAGCGGTCCGTTGCATCATTAAGCGCAAGAGTGCAGACGCGAATTCAATTTCTGTGGACATGTTTCCTTCCTTATGATAGTACTAACAAGTGATGGAAGCAACTGGTTCGGGTTGGCTGCTTTAGTCGATTTTTTACTTGTGTACTGCATGCGGACGTTTCGTACCGTGCTCGAGTGGCACATCACAAAGCAATATCAATAAGAGACGATCTTAACACGTAGTTAGCGAGCTAGCTAGCTAGCTATCTAGCTATCTTCTTATTCATGTGCTACCATGCACAATGTGGTGTGTTTTGATGCTGGCACTGTAACGGCGTGCCTCCGGTACACAACAACTTACATCAGAAAATGATCAAGTATGATTATTATGTTAGAACAAACACAACATTATCACAATATTATCATATTAGATAATGTTGCCTTGCAGATGTAACACACTAATCATTGGTTGAAAGAGGATCGAGATTTACCAATAAAGTCTAGCTACGACAGAAGCACGAAATGAGTGGTGCGCAGATATTTGCAATACATGTTTGTATTTAGACATAGTTTAATGAAGTCAAAAAAATAGGAAATGATTAAAAGGATCGACTATGCTAATTATAGCTCAACTTTTTACCTTTACTGAGCACTCTTACTCCGTAACGAGGCACCATTTGTTTGGGGTGCCGCAAAACTTCACGTACACAAGTACGTGCAGAGGAAGCTAATCTACTTAAACGACTCGTTCGAGTAAAGGAAAAAAAGGGAAGTGTATTTAATGTAGTCAAGCTATCAATATAACTTTAATCTTTATCTAACTATGGTAATCTACATTGTCGTATGACGACAACCTGCTCACCACTCATTGCGCGCGTCTAGCAGCGATTGGTGGTAGCCTTGGTTGATTTGTCTTAAATCAACCAATCTTGGAGCAGCGCATGAATATGATGATCCTACAAAGGGGATAATATTCCTTCAATGTTATCCATCTCGGATAACATTGGCAGGGAATTGTCACGCTAGACAATATTCCTATTGACACCGTTTGGTGTCAATATCATGTAACGGGCTACCCCGTTGCAACACCCTCGTAAAGTTAACAGTGGAAGGTTTATTTTGTTAACTGAATAAGATGTGCCCCGTTACATGACGGGCATGTAAAAAGCTAAATGACTGGTGTGCTCCCTGTAACATTTCGTACGCTGTGATAGCAGCAGATCAGATCTTGCTGTTACCGGTGCCGATTGCGCTGCCTGACGAAAAAGTACGTGTGTAGTGCATTAATTGAGTCAGCAGGATGTCTTTAAAGACATTCTCTTTGATGGATACAACGCAAACAAATCTTTACAAAGCTTGTGGAGCCTTGCATTACATTCGCAACGGTTATTCTTTTAGTTATCATGCACTTCCCCAATTCGAGCGTACTGTTACATACAGCGTGCATGATACCGGTCAGCGATGCAGCATCATGAGATGCACTGCTTATTGTTTCTTCAGACGCTTCAGCACCGCAATTTTCTCCTCCTTATGCATAGCTCAAGTGGCGTTGGTTCCTGCAAGATCGACTGTGGCTTTCGTCTCCATCATCCGTGCTGAGGTCTTTGGCACTCTCACCAACATCCAATGAGATTTGTCTGGCGGAACTGCGTTCGTACCACCCTTTTCAACATACAGCGCAAGCTTTTTCTCTTTCAGCTCCCGCAGTGACTTCTCCCGCATACCTCCAAAGCGCGAGTTCGGTCTGCGGTCTCGGCACCCTAATCTGCGTCATATGTGCACCAAAAGACACGCGTAGCTTACCAATAAACGCTTGCGGATTCGCAAGCGTTTTCAGATAGTCCACTGGAAGCTATACGTTACGTGTTCCGTAATGCCGGCTGCAAAAGTCATATACACTCGGAAACATTGGTCAGGATATCTCCATCGACACCAAATACAGCAAGAACTGAATGGAGTGTGCGCAACCATTCGTGTGACCATTTCTACTTGACGAAAAAACTCGTTAGCAATGACGCTGTCTCTTATCCCATGTTGCAGCTGGGTATAATGTGGTTAGCAACCATCCATCAACTGTAAATTTGATTGAAGTACAGTTTCGGTTTTGGGACTTTTGGGCATTTTGTGGTGCTGACATCGAGAATTGCTCATAATTCTGCCCTCATTCGAGTCAGAGCGTCTCCACCAGTGAAGCATAACCTAACTTATTGTGCACCAATCAGACACCAGTATAATTTCTTCTCAAAGTTGTACGCGAAAAACTTTGCGGCAGTCAGTATTTCTACATGATACAAGTTTAATTAGGCCGAACGTAATTGGTGAAGTTGTAGTCGCCTTTGTTTGTTTTTAGATCTCCTGTTAGGCTCTACGGCATGTACTTGGTGTCAGTGTCTCGAAATCTTGAGCCAATGACGTGCAAACAAGAGAGGTATTTCAGGCGTCACAGAACTACAAAACGTAAGCGAGATAACCAAAAAATAACTTTCTCTCGAGTTATCCTCGAGGTTATACGCTGCTGTGCGCACTTTAATGAGTGCAACTATATATTTTAAGTGGACAAAAATTTCGATTATACTGACTGCTGTAGACGCTCTCAGTCAATCGAATGGTCAGCAAAACAAATGTCGCGCTCATGTCGCACGTAGTCTCTTCAATCGAATAAAACGCCCACGTCGTACTGTTTTTGCACTGCAGAAGCGACCGCATTTGCCAATGACGTCGAGCGTCTCGACAACGTCATCGTCAACCTCCGCTACCCGTTAGATGCCTCGCGCAGCACACGCCCCGACCGTCCCCTTAACGAATCAACGTCAAAAGTCGATCGTGGTGTTCGTGTTGTGATAAATCAGAAAACGAGTACGACAAGCTGACCTCAACAATAAACGCCCAAACTTTCCCCACATTCAAGCGAGCGAATGTCGCTTTACGATTGGTCGAAAACGCTGCACGCAACTCGACGATTGGCTTAACGGCACTCTACGCGCTCTATGCGCAGCCCTAGCCGCAGACTTGCCGTCGCACCATCAACGCCGCCACTCCATAGTCCAGGCAAGTGAGACCCCTTCGGCCCATGCAGACGACCAGCGAGGCCGCTGTCCCGTCCGTAGCCGGTCGCCCCAACAGCTCGGACGACCTCGCAGCTGACTTCCTGGCCTCCCCTCCAGTCCACTCGCCATCGGACGCGCGGCTGTTGTACCGCGAGTGGCGCACAGGATCGCACGTCGGTGGCGACCTCGCGCTTCTCGAGCCGGGCGCCCTCAGCCACCGTAGCGCCATGAACAGCGAGGAACTGCTCAGTCGCTCGCCCTTTGGCGTCTACGGACGCTCCCCCACTTCGCTCCCGTGTATCGCAGAGCGGCTGGAGAACCTCCCGGAACGGACCGATGGGACGCCTGCATCGGCCGTGCTCGTGCCACAAAACGCGGACTCCAGTGCACGGCTATTGTCACAGAAACTCGCGGCGCTGGACGTGACGCAATCGGGGCACACGATCAAGTCGTCGCAGTCGGGATCGTACAATTCGGCAGTGTCGACCGATGGGGCGTCGGGCATCAAGAAGGCGCAGAGCTATCAGGGCCTGGCGGATCTGGAGAAACAAGGCTATTTCCCAGTGGCTCCAAAACCGTCGGCACTGGGCGTTCAGCGAGGGCTGAAAGACTCGGTGGTCAACGACATGTGTCGAGCTGTCGTCAAGCACATGGTCGGGGACGTGTACGTATCCGGCTCGGGCTCCTACGGCCAGCGGAAAGTGCTCAATCATCTGTACGAGCCCGTGTTTGCATCGGTGCAGGCTCATTTTCGACGACTACCAGCTAGATACGCGCTGTCTGTGAATCCAGACGATGTGCCGCTGCATATGCGGCTGTTGGCCCAGAACCAACGAGACCCGACAGCTATTGCTGTTAATGCGCAGCTAAAGAAGGATGACAATGGCGAGTACGTTATCGACGTGTGTCGTGCAGGGATGATAGTCAGGAGATCGATTGTGTGTGTTTCTGTGTGACTGATTGACGATGTGTGTGATTGGCAGAATCGTGCCCAATGTGTGCGAGGTGGTGGTCGTGTCGTTAGATCGAGATAACATATTGGACGCTATTACGCGGGCGCTTACTACGATGAAGGGAAATATTCTGGACGCTGACGTGATGACGACAGCCGATGGAACATTGCTAGATCGCTTTGTAGTGAAGGGATCATTCATGAGTGATGAGCGCCAAGAGGAGCTTCGCTTGCACATTGAACAGAACCTCCGTAGGCTCAGTATGGATGAGGAGGGCACACGGCCGAGTGTCTCGAGTGCACTAGACTCGAGTGGCAATGAGACTGTAAGCTTGGCTGAGACGCTTGGTGTTCTTCAGATGGTGGACAAGAACGAAATCAGGGCTGAATGGAAGCTGAACTTGAACGAGGTACGGCTGGACAAGGCCGTAGGCAGTGGTCGCTCTGGTTCAACATACAGCGCTTGGTGGCGGGGCACTCACGTAGCTGCGAAAGTCGTGGATTCATCTGTCAACAGTCAGGCGGTGGGAGAAGAGCTGTCGAATGAATTTCACCGTGAGGTGGCAGTCGTTACGAAGCTGCGCCATCCAAATATTGTTTTGTTCCTCGGAGCAGCTGTTGATCCGCCGCGTTACTGCTTAGGTACGTTACACAACGGCGTTTATTGCTAATTGACTACTCGCTTTATAACAATCAGGGGGTATTGTCGCTGTTCAGTTTTCGAGTTTATGGAAAATGGCACGTTGACCGACTTCATCCGATCTCATCGCGGGCCAATCGATTTCTTTCGCTTGGCATCACAGATGACAATGGTTGCATTGCTTTTTCTTTACTGTTGCGATTGGTGAAGAGCTCACCTTGTATGCTGTATGTGTTGTTGTTTGCAGGGAATGAACTATCTCCACTTGTGCTCCATCATGCACCGTGATTTGAAATCTGGCAATGTGCTTATTGATTCGCATGGCACCGCGAAGATATCTGACTTTGGACTGAGTTGCGTACTTGAGATCGGCAGCTCGTCCAACTTGACTGCTGAGACAGGGACATACCGGTGGATGGCGCCGGAGGTCATTCGCCACGAGCCGTATTCCACCAAGGCCGACGTCTATAGCTTTGGTATCGTGTTGTGGGAACTGCTAGCAAGAGATCAACCTTTTCGTGGACTGACGCCCATTCAAGGTGGGTAAATCTTCTCCTTTCTGTAGCCACCATGTTTAATTTGTGCCGATAATGTTTGCTGCAGCTGCTTTTGCTGTTGCTCGGCAGCACATGCGTCCCGCGTTGCCGCGCCAGACACCGGTCAAGATTGGGGAGCTTATTGAGCACTGCTGGCATCACGACCCCGCTCGACGGCCAGACTTTGGCTCTATATTGGAAGCTCTTCCATTAGTGAAGAGATCGCTGAAAAAGCGTGATTTTAAGAATATGGGCATCTTGTACGCTGCTCCGTAAGCGCGCGTTGCAATCTAGACGGATGAGGTACGTGTGCGATGCATCTGTATTCGCAGTTTAATTGTACTGCTGGTAAACTAGAAAAGTTATAGCTCGATGTAAGCCCCTAGTGCGATATGCGAATACAGGAGTGGTCACCGACACATTATTCGCGATTGAATGGGGTAGATTACACACTGGACAGTTCGTTGCTCGCGCAACAATTTGTAGACGCAGCTGATCGTAGTCGCGTGTTTTCGTGCGCTAATATCACCGTGAGCAAATGACCGGTATCATAACGCAAGCTGCAGCGTAAAAACAGCAATCTTAGGTTCCTCCAGCGCTAAAAAAGCAAATCAACAGTCACAGCGCTGTAGCTGTTGATTTGATTTGCGCTGACGTGGCGACGGCACAAGTTTTCAGTCTTTGATTCTACCGTGATAAAGCGTAATCTGACGTACGCTCATTCTTGTCACTACAAGCAATCGAATCATACGCATCCTGTCCAAATAGATACTCACGTCGAAGGTACGCCAGTCTCTATCTAAAATCCCTAGTATTTGAAGCGGAGCAAGTCGCGACACCACGAAGTAGGTGCTCATACCGCTTTCTGATAATATCGTGGTGCCTTCTGTGTCATGCCGGTAGTGCATCGGCTACAAATGATGACTGTTGCCCAACGGGATCGCCTGACGACCGCACAGTATTCTCCTCTTCTACATCAATGACCGTTTTCGACCGCGTCACTTCGTAATTTCGTCTCAATTCGGAACGTTCAAAGCCACGGAAGTAATCTCGGATCTCGGCTGAGATGCTACCCATAACTTTTGCTTTTTGGATTGTCGGTGCACTTCTGCTGCATCACATATCACGATCTGGAATGACGCAAATGAACCTCCCGTTCAACCACCACTATGGTCCCGTACTAGGATGCTACTTGAAGTCCTCGTATTGGACACGTGCAAGCTGACCCAGGGTGTCGTTAGCTAAGTTGTAGTTTAGAGATTGCGCTACCCATAAGGCCATTTTCAGCAACGTAGATCAGGGACACACTACAAAAAAGTGATCTGCACTTGTCATGCTGGTCTTGTCCCACATTACATAACTGGGACGGACATCGGCACACGTAATGAAAAAACTACAAACGAGAAACGTCCACCTCCGTAAGCAACAAAGGAGCAGTTCGATCCATATTATCTTGTAGCAAGAGCGGCATCGAGACTTCCCACGGTACAAACCACACTTTCCTCCTTCTCCATCCGGCGCGCAGGCGAAACCAAATGGTTTGCTGCGAGTACGGCACATCGCATTGAATGTGACGCGCTAATCGGGTAGTGTATTTAATCGAATGGGTGTCATCGGTCTAAAAGCTCAAAGGTGTAGTGCAGATGAGTTTCTGGTACATCTATGTGACAGGAGTAGTCTAGCTCAATCGTTACGAGCAAACTGGTCATTCGTTTGTGTAAGTGTTACGAGAAATGCTTGACAAGACATCCCACAGTCAAGCGATCGATGAGGTGGAATGTTTGTCCGTTTCTGAATCCACAGGTAGCATGCTAACCAACACGAAACATCCACCTCATTGTGCGATACCAGACGTGCTTGTAGGCGTTGTGTGTACACATACTTACAATCGACGACCGTCGCGGTTTCAATCTAACATACAATGATGAGGTTCTGTGTCGATTTCCACTTGCGGGTCATTTAATTTCAGACGTCAAGTTGTTCTTAAGGTTACGTCTCGGACGAATGCATGTCCGTTTTGCTCCTTAGTCTTTGTCAGTACGCCCAATCACGGACACCGGTCGATCGCACAAGAACAAATCCTCGTGGTTTCGTTGTTAATCCATTTGCAACGTGTTGACAATGGAACAGAACGCGTTTCGGTCACAGTAATTAAGGCGTTCGAGACCATGGCAACACATTCGACAGCTTCGTACAGCGCTGAAGTCGTGCTGCACACAAAAAAAACACAGCACTGCCCTCACTTGAATACACGGGCCGCAGAAATCACCAAGCTTGATCGCGAAACAAACACTAGCTGTCTACAAGCTTGGCCTAACTAATCTGCTGCAGATACTTCGTCGAGACGCAGCCAGGTTTGTCAGACATCGGAAGTGCATAAAACACTGCGCACCGCTGTCTATTTTACAAGACGTCTCAAATGTGCTTATCAGCTACTGGAATTGTTACCACAACGCAAACACGTAGAGATGTGAAGTTTCATCTGTCAATAGACGTACTGAGATTCGTGCTAGCGTGAGGATGGGACCATTGCATCTGTAAGTTTGGATTAGTCTAGGACACGAGAGAGGTAGCACTAATTTCAAGCGCTGGTTCGATGATAGTAAAGTGCAACGCCGTCAAGGCGGCGTACCAGGACAGCTGCCTCTTTGTACCAGTCAAGGAGAGCTTAAGATTCTCAAGCGTTCCCGCCGTCCGTTTTTCAGCCACAACCATGAAAGACCTTGCGGTCCAGTAAACGATCAATCTTCGCGTCGACAGGCAACACCTGCACGTTTCTCGTACGACTGCGAACACTGAACGATGGTAGCATTCATTGATGACACGTCCGTGCCCTTTTCAGGCGTTTTCTTCCGTACGGGATCAGCATTAGTAACCTAACCTGGTTAGGAAGGTTTCTACTACCAGATAACGGAGTTTCGTTCGTGCTGGCGCCAGATACTGAAACGCCGCATAGCTGAGTCTGCACCTGTAGCTACTATGGTGCCGACGGGATCAGCAAAGCGTACTGAGATCGTCCGACCACTGCGTTTTTCTGGCCTCATGACCCGCTCGAAAGCCGCGCCGGGTGACGTCTGCACTCGCCTCCCCTTGCAAAGGTCCCGACACGCTGAATCCGTTTACAGACCCCTTCACTAGTTGCTCACAAACACATTCCCCCTTCTGTTGACAAGCGTCCCACCAACCACAAGACCCACCTGACGCAATGAGCTGGCTACAGGCACACGACGTGGCCATTCCCTTCTACGAAGTGCGCGCGGGCAAGCAGGTTTTCGTCATTCAGTTGAAAGGTCGCCCCGTCCGACAAGAGGTCAAGGCACCGAATGGATCCGGTTTGATCCAGAGTATGAGCGCCCGACGGATCTCCCCGGAAGACGATAAACAGATCAACAGCATGACCGTGAATACGTCCGGGGTCCAGATCACAGCGACGCGGTCGTATTCGCAATTCCGCAAGCTCTGGAAAGACCTGACTCTTGCCACCAAAACACCTTCAAGTGCATCATTGTCACGTTTCAATAGTGCTGGGCCAGTCCACGTCGATCGTTCATCGCATCGCTTGCTGGCCACCTCTCTTCATTCCCTATCGGCTTCTGGCAGCGAATTCTCGTCTTCTTGTCGCTGCCGTAGCTGGAATTGTACATTTCGCAGCTTCCACCACTTTCTAAAGAGCTACCCGTTCCCGTCCAAGTTCCAAATAAAGCGCAATACACCGTCCGTGCTGGAAAGTCGACGCCAAAAGCTGGAGCTGTTTATTACAACTCTGCGAGGGCTTTTCGACACGTTTCCTCGTTCATATCTCCAAAGCATCGATGCGCTGGACAATTGCCAGGTACTGATGTCCTTAAGCGCCTTCTTCGGGTTCAATGAAAAGAGACGCGTGAATTCGGGACCACGATTACCACTGCAACTTTCGGTTGATGGAAGGTCTACTGGAATAGCTCGATGTCGAAGACCTGACAGTGTGGTGAGCATGAGAACCACTTTCTTCAGTGCTAGGAGTCATGACGGGGATGATAGCACGAATGATATATGCAGCTTCATCGGTAAAGACTGCAACAGCCAATCGCAACTCTCATCCACTGGACAACGTCACCGGAAGAGGGAGTCCAATTCTAATCATCTCAAGAATATGGACTGCAACTCCCACCGTCGAGGGGATCCAGAGTTTCCTGTGTCGCTGATCAAGTCACATGAAAAGCATGACGACGACGACTCTATGACGTCAGCTGATCGGACGGTCACCAGGAACTCGACATCCTCTCATCGTGCCAAGCGCACTGCAAATCCTGCTGACTATTGGTCTCGATACAGTTGTGGCGTTGACATTCGGCGCCACACTGTTTTCCTGGCGCGCAATCCAGTCATAACAACGCGTCGTGGTGCTGCTGCTTTTGATACTAAGGCACCGCAAACCTTGCTGCTAGGACTTCCAAAGGTGACGCTTCGAAATGAAGAAGCTTCAATGTGCTCGTTTCTCGAGAAATTTAGAGAGCACCTTTTGATGGACCCACGAGCCCTTGGAAGCCCTAGCGTCCCGATGGGAAACTGGAACGAGGATCGCCAATGGGAGCTTGCGTTGTTTGTGGCGAGTCAAATTGGCCATGCACACGCAGTAGAATCGATTCTGTACCGCGGCACGAATGCGAATGCAGTGATGGAAAGTGGCCATACAAGCTTACAAGTCGCTTGTCGAGGTGGTCATCGGAGTATTGTGGCAATGCTGCTAACCCACGGAGCTGACACAAACATCACGGACCGAAACGAAGTCTCGCCCTTGCTCTCCGCCGTCCAACTGGGAGACCTGGAGATCATGGAAATGCTGGTGGAATACGATGCAAATGTCAATCTGCGCAACACCGATAATGTATCGACTGTGCACGTGGCCGTTGCATGCCAAACGCTGCCCGTACTTCAACTGCTGCTGGAGCACGATGCCTTTGTGAACACACGGAATGATTTCAACGGCAAGACGCCACTGCACCTGGCCGCTCAATTTGGTAATTTGCCAATGTGCAAGCTGTTAATGAATCACGGAGCTAGTATTCATCACAAGACAGCGCGTGGGCTGGACGTTGTGGATCTTGCTAACTCACATGGCCACGAGAACATCGCGAGGTATTGTATCAGCTTTGCTAATCACCAGAGCAATAGTCATCGGGGAACGGCTTCGACGAAGCAAACAGCTAAGGTGGGTGACTGCACTTCAGAGTTTTCTCATGAAGTCAAATTTGTGTCTGAAGATGGTCACGCGTACGCTGTTCTGTAAGAATAATAATGATAATAAAACCTCGATGGAAAGGTTACGACAACGCCGAGCTTATTTTACAAGGTCACACGTAGCACACGTCGATCTCGCCACTTCAAGCATCGTTACAATCGGTGCGAAAGTGCACAAATTGTTGGCAGCACCTTATTATTCACTTCCCAGCAAAACACGCACAACCTTAACGCATATCTATTCTTGACAATTACTTGACCGCTATCAATTCTATCAACTTGAAACCAGGTAACTGGACTTGTTAACGGAAAAGTAACAGTCGAGAAGGAAATTGCACGTGTCGAATTGCTGGAGCCGTTGGCATTTCAGTTTTTAAGCTCAGCTTAATGTGCCCGATCGATCACTAGCTGAAGGAGCACCCTTTTGGTACAAGCCGCATCATGTAGCAGAAGCAAAGGATGTGATTTAATGCCAACCAACTCTGCCTTTAACGATACGTTCATCCACCAGCAATCGAAAACACGATAATGGTGCATCATGACGATCCTCGTTTAAGTCGGGCTTAAGCATGCAGATCAAGTGACTCGATGCAGGATCGTATTTGTACGACACATCGTTCGAACCTCCCACCAGTTATGCTTGGTCCCAAGTTTCCACCAACGAACAAGCGGTCCTGAACGTAACGGAACGCAACTTCTATCGTTCCTGGATGTCAATAGCAAGTTTGTAACGTTCCGAACACCTTCAGTGAACTACAAAGGCTGCAGACCTGAATTTACAAAGATCAAGTCCTTGTCGCCTTCCCTCTATTGATCGCGTTGTATTCGCCTATCGCTATCCGACTGCACTACGTCAGCGGGAGGCGTCCGGGTGTGTGGGGGAAGGTTAACGATCAAGTAATGTTGTGCAGCACAGTGACAAAGAGGGATATCATGTGTCAGCATACTGGACGTTCGCAAGAAGCGGGACTCAATATGTGAAGGATCATGCGTATCGTGGTCGAATAGCGACAGGAAATGGCATCACCAAAGCGCTATTACTAACGATAGCAACGAAAGTGGTGTTCGGAGCGAAGACCGTCCGGTGAACCAATACAAGACCCCTTACGTCTGAAAATGCATTCGGCCCCTGCAAAAGATCCCGAGTACATTCACGACGCAGGCTACGCAACAACATGCCTCGAAACGAATCGGCCTGCACGAGCTGAGTCAGGAGACGAGTAATCGCTATTATAGGCATTCCGAAGCACTCAGCGTGTTGTCAAGCGAACTAGAGCTGCGACCAACCAATCGCTCATGCTTAACTATTCCAATTAACAGTGTGACCGACAGAAATAGGTTTGTATGAAATGGATGGGCCACAATCGTAGCACTTCCATGCCGCTTTTCGCGTTCCAGTGACAATTGTTATCGGAATGAATTCATTGGCAAAAATTGCAGACGCGGTTGGACATGCGAGGTGAAGACCAGCGCCTGACAGAGCATCTGAAGGCGATTTTTGCCGAAATCGAGCGGCTGCGGCTCGTCTACAGTCACGCAATCGATCAGCTGGAGACGTATACGCTGCCAAATTTATCGCCACATTCAGCTACCCGATGGTTTAATATGGTGCGTTGGTTCGGTCCACACCTTTCGGTGGCGGTAAATAACAAGAATTTCACGACACAATTGCAGTACCTTCGTGTTGTGGACATAGGCATCCAACTTCGACGCGGAGAAGTCCGTCACTGCTCGACGCAGCAATTCAAATTCCCTTGCATGCACGAGACTGGCACCAAAGGAGCTGTGCACTCGGGTGCGTAGAGTTGAGCTGCTGCAATAGTCACTGGAACGTGCTATTGACTAGGTGGATATGGAACAGGGCTGAGTATTGACGATGGAAATGCCATATACCAGCAAATGGAGAGTCGGAAACTGGTGTCCGAGAATCGACTGGACCGCTGGTTCATCAAAATGGACGGACTGGATCGCGACGACATAGGTCTGTTGGACAAAAGAGTTACACGGTGCCTTGAGAGTTTTCGTAGACAAGATAGCATCTTTTACGATCGAATTGAGATTATGGGCGAGGATCCTCATGAGGAAATGATGGTGCTGGGAGGACATGGTGCTACGGATTCTCGGGTCCTGGCGAAGGCTACACGAACGTGTTTTGGGCCGTCGAAGTGTTCTTGCGAGGAAGATGCGCATCCTTGGGAGAGTTTTAGTCTTACGTCTGGTGATCCACTTTCGCAAAAGCCTCTTGTGACGAATGCAAACTCTAGCACTAAGTCTGAACAGCTAGAAGATATGGGTATTATCGACATCAAGCGACAGATGGGATTCCAACAACTATCGTATGAGGATGCGCAAGAAAACGTAGTGACGCTTGCACGAGATTCCTCGCGATCGGCTGGGCATCTGAACAGTTTTGGCAAAAATACTACTGCCACGGTAGGGCTACATGCTCCGTTATCGGCACGAAGCATTTACCAAAAAAAGGTGAGCGAGGAGGAATGCATGTGAACGACACGACTGCCATGCATAACCTTGTGTTGTTTACGTTGTGTTCTTCTCTAGTGTGGGGAGATTGGATTAGAAGCGAAGCCATCGATACATGCGTTGCTGGCAGTGAATAATGGAGCGCATCATCTTGACCTGTCTGGCATCGGTTTCCATTCCGCACACGATCTCCAGGACTTAGTGGACATTTTTTCGATACCCGGATTACCTCCTGTGAAGGAACTGAATGTGTCAAACGGTTTTTTCAACGCCGCGGCCTTCGACGTATTGTGCGAATTGCTGCGCTTACCACTGCTCCGTCAGAACGTGAAGCAACTCAGTCTTCGTGGCATTGCTGTCCCACGGTCGGCCGATATCGCCGTCCTCGTGCGACTACTGACCGGCGACAGTTCATCTATCAGGTCCCTACCAGCACTTGATAGCTTACAAACACTGGATTTGTCATACAATACGTTGTGGCATGAAGGCGCTGAGCACCTTCGACCCCTGCTCGCTAGCTTACCGGGGCTTGAACATCTCTTTCTGGAATCCTGCTTCCCAAAAATTGTTTCTTCATTTAACCCGCCAAGTTCCGCTAGCGATCAAAAAGTGATGGAGGATAATGTGCGTTTGGCACTGATGGATGTTAGCAATCGTCTACAATGCCTGGATTTCGGCTCAAACTGCATTGCGACTGAATCGCGCTGGTTAGATGCTATTTTTGCTCCTGGTAGCACAACACAAAAGCTGTACCTGCGTGGAATTACTAGCATCTCTCGTTGCACGACCGAGATAGTGGAAGATGATTGGAAAGTAAGCGAAACTTGGGACCTGCAGCAGGTTGAAACGCTTACGTGGTCTTCCAGCAGTGTTTACACCAACAAGTTGCTCGATGCTTTATCTGCCGAGTTACAAGGCGGTTTCGCACAACTGAAGCACCTCGACCTTGAAGTTAATGATGCATCCTGGCGAGATCGCGAAAGTAACAACGTCGACCGACACATCGCAGATACAATCGCGCACATTGCCGACTATGGGGTAATGCAATCATGTCGTATTTGCTATTATCGTCAAAATGGGACCATCTCGCTTGGTGTTTATGTTTCGATGAAAAAGCTTTTGGAGGATGGACTGCATGAGTGTGAAGTTTTGGCATTACGTATACCACACCTGTGTCTCGGCTCGAGTGCAATTTGCGATCTGCTGTCGAGCGCGGTCGTTCCTAAGATGTGGAAACTGACGCTGGCCATCGGGATTGTTCCCGAAAACGAGGAAGCCCTGACTTCAGGCTCGTGTTTTCCGCAAATGCAATCGATGCGAGAACTCGTATTGGAACTGCATACCACAGTCACATCTGAGGCCACGGCAGTTGCATTGGCGCATCAGTTGAAGACGTCCTGGCTTAAGCCGCACGCTTCGACCGACTTCGTAGATGACGTAAAACAAGACGTCGATCTTGTGGACGGAAATGTGGCCCGTTCTTTCGATTTATTAGAGCAAGTGAAGGCGAATAAGCGGATTTACCGATGCCGCTTTTACGTCACGTCACCGTCACAACAATCATAGAACGTGTCACTCATGTTCCTCCTGTAACGGGGCATGTTGTGTACAATTTGCCTCCAAACTATGCATCTCCCGCAAAAGTGCCTTGGCTTCCTCTTTTTCCAGTCCCTGCATGTCCAACAAGCAGTTACAGAAAATGGTCGCTTCGGGAAATCGGCCTAACTGCTTGTAGTAGTTGCCAAGAAACAATATCGCTGCCAATGCTTGAGGAGTATCCACGCGGATGTTACCACCACTACCACTGGGGAGAACAAGCACCTCTCTTTCATCTTTGCTATCGCATTCATCATCCATTGGTATAAATCGCTTTGACTTGTCCAGATCTGGAAAAAGTGATGCTGGGGCGCCTTGAAGACCGAGATGCAACTGGTAATACTTGGCCGCATCGTGTTGCTGCCCACGCACCGCATAAAGTCGGCCCAGGTGGTACGATGCAATGCCCTCACGATCTTGATTATTTACGGCACGATGGAAACAAGCAAGAGCTTCATCAACCTTGTCCAGTTTCTCGTAGCAGCCACCTAAAGCACACCACATGCGCGCGTCATAAGGACGGATTGCCACAGATTTCCGGTAATAGTAGATGCTGTACAGGTACATGTTCATGATTTCGTAGGCCTGCCCAAGCCCATACCAAGCGCGATAATCTCGTGCGTTCAGATCAACCGCGTGGCGATAGGCTTCAACAGCTGCACTCGTGTTCTTCATCTCGATATACTCGTGGCCAATGAGTGTCCATGCTGACAGGAAATGAGGATCGAGCTTCAAAGCGCGGTGAAAATAAATAATAGCGCGATCGTGCTTGTTCTTGATCGAATAGTAGTTTCCGATGATACAGCACGTCTCCGGCCGATACTTCTCTACCTTGATTGCTCGATGCGCCAGTCGACTAAGCTCTGTCTTGTTCTCTTTCACGTACAGCACGTTTGAGTATACATCCATGTTTTCCATCCGATGAGGATCTTGCGCAGCGAGCCGCTCAAACTGTTCTTGAGATAGGTCAAAGTCTCGAATGTGATAGCTAGTCAATGCCTGCTGCGCTAAAAGATAGGTGCTACGTGGAAACTGTTCCTCTAAACCCGTCAGGAGCTCACGTGCGCCATCATTTTGCTGCTGGTCCAGCAGGACATGTGCTTGAAAAAGCTGGAACATCCATGGACAGCTCGTCGCTAGGGTAATTTCTTCTTCCTGCAGCCACAACTGCCATGTTAGATTTGTCTTCGCGTATAGCATGCATCAGGCCACTGACGTACATTGGATGTAAAAGGAGAATGAGCTGCTAGCTCCATCCAGGCTGACCAATTCCATGGGTAGCGTCGTATCGATTCAACCAGGATGAACCGAGTCGTAACGTCAAATGTGAATAAACCTGACTCGCTTTTTATGCCTGTCTGAATGCTGGCAGCGTCGGCATTACGCACGTGCTGGCGCTTTTGCTCCTCTGCGGAATCCACGCGACGCCGAGATTTCATGCTTATTGGGGTCGACGATTGTGCTTCCGTGCTTCCAGTACTTGTGCTGTAGCCCAAACGCTTGAGAACGACAGCGTACAGATAGAGGCCAAAACCGTCCAGCAAGTTCTGTTGGTATGCGATACTCAGCGATAAGTACAGCTCTTTCAAGTATGGATTCGTGCCTTGGCGATGCAGGTTACGGTCCAGCTCTGTCAATCAGCACAAATGATCGTGCACCCACAGTGTTTTCAAATCAGCTACAACCAACGAGAAGGTGTTAAAGATGATTGGATCTGGACTAGACCTTTGCTGCTGCCTGTGACATTCACCACCAGATCCATCTCTTCCTTTGCTTTTTCACCAGCCTATAAAGAAAACCAGTTAATATAAAAAGGTAAAATTTACTACTCGATATTCAGCAAATGGTCCGGTCTTTTTCGTACCAAAAACAATGAATAGTTTCGGAGAAAGCGAGTTTTGTGCGTCTGGCTTCGGCATGTGCCCACGCGACGCTCAGTACTGAGCGACAGAAAGTGGTGAGCACGAAGGTACTCGCCCATGTCAAAGCAGGTCTTAGCAGCTTCATAGCGATCGGCCTCCGCCCAGTCCTCGAACTCGTCCGTATTCGTGTCGTCATTCCACAATTTCTGCGGTGACTCATGGGATGCAGCAGCCTCTCCGATACCAAGAAGAAGCTCCGCTGCGAATTGGGTAGCCTTCGTGAGCCCCCGGACGCGCAAGTCGCCCACAGCGACGCGCAATTGAGCGGCGATAACTGCTGGTTCCGTGGCCATGATCGTGTTGGTAAGTGCGATTGAAGCACGGAGAAGAGTGACATCAATCTGTCTTGTTTGACATATCCAGACTCTATTCACTCTATCCACTCTATCTGCTCTATTCACTCTATCTTCTCTATTTACATGACTCTTCTTAAACTTACGCTTTATTCAGCACATGCCGAGCAATATCGAGCGGGACGAGGTCCGCAGGCACAGAACCTTGTGCAAACCTGGCGTTGCCGCCTCCACGACCGCCCAATGGCTTCACAACCTGCTGCAGTAGCTTACCAGCGTGAACTTCTGCATTCGCATTGGCGAAACACGCAATCTGCGAGCCAAGCGTAAGAAGGAGGACCGTACCAGGCGCAGATTGCTTGGCCAGAAACTCGGCACGGCGTTTGAGTATCTTGGAGGTATCGCTGACTCCCGCAACGTCCAAGGCATGCAACTCCACTTGAGGCGCGCCCACACTTCCGAATAGGGGACCCACTGCAACTGGTGTCGATCGAAGCGTGGCCAGTGCGTCACCGAGAGCTTGAAGCTGACTCTCGAGCTGCTTCATCTGTTTCTGCATCTTTGTGACACGCTCCACAACCTTCGCAGGCGTGGTTGACAACTGATCCGCTACCTCGCTTAGCGTCTGCGCCTTCGCCTGTAAGTATCTTGCACCAGCGAATCCCGCCACAGCCTCCACACGTCGTGTGCCGGCAGCTACTGATCCCTCGCTGACCAGTACAAAGGGAAATACCTCACGCGCGTTAGACACGTGCGTTCCGCCGCAAAACTCGCTCGATACAGGCATATCAGCCGCTCCAGCTTCCGTGGCATCACCACAACCACCGACATGAACGACACGCACGATATCTCCATATTTGTCACCAAAGTTGCAAATGGCACCACTGCACTCAGCTTCTCTTCGCGTTAATTGAACCGTTCTCACATCCAACTCAGCAGCTGCAAACTGGTTGACCCTTGCTTCCACGCTTGCAAGTTCCTCAACAGAAAGGGCCCCAAAATGAGTAAAATCGAAACGAAGACGATCACTCGTAACTTGCGAGCCAGCCTGCGTGACGTGCTCACCCAACTCCACCTTGAGTGCACGCTGCAGCAAGTGCGTTGCTGTGTGATGCACTGCACAACCAGAACGGAACTTGCGGTCCACATGTGCTTCCACGATAGGCCCTGAGTTATCAGCTGGAAACAGCAGACCTGTAACATCCGCAAACGCCATCCCCTGTGGCAGCGAGCAGTTGAGAGCAATAGCCTCCCCGTGCACCTTCGTCGCGTCATCAACTGAAATACTGGTTCGTTGCGTACCGTCTGCAGAAATAATCACCAGACGTCCACGGTCTCCTGCTTGGCCTCCTCCTTCTGGGTAAAATGGACAGCGATCGAGAATCACGCTAAATCCAGTTGGCACCTCGTCCTTGTCATTCAAATGTGGCCAACTGTCCAGTATACGAGCATCTCGTACGCTCAGCTGTTGATAACCCACAAACGTGCTTACCGCGGCTTTCTCCTGGACAGCTGATGACTGCTTTGCACACCGTGACGGCTTTCTCTGTTGTCCAGTGAATATACCGCAGTCACTGCTTCGCTGTTTTTGATTCTTTACAATCGTCTTGTATCCCTCAACGTCAACGGCGAGACCTTTTTCTTCGGCTAACACCTGTGTGATATCAAGCGGGATGCCGTAGGTGTCGTAAAGTCGGAAAGCATCGGCACCCGACAATATTGTGTTCGTCTTGGAAAACACTTTCTCGATGACACCTCGGTTGTCATGCAGCATTTTTCCAAATGCTTTCTCTTCGTTCAGCACGACTGCACGCATTTGCTGAAAGCCTGATGTCTCTGCCCAAGCTGGAACTACAACAGAAGCCAAAGTGCTGTCCGTACCACTTACGACATCAAGTTGTTGGGCGTGCCGAATGGCTCGTCTGATGATGCGTCGTAGCACATAGCCACGACCAACGTTTGACGGGAATACGCCGTCGTGCAGCAATGCGTAAGTTGCGCGGAGATGATCACTAATAACTCGGAGAGTCTGAATCTCCTTTCCAGTTCCGAACAGATTGTTGCGCGGATCGATTTCCTCTTCAAGCATAGTGGAAAAGGACGGACGTGAAGTGGATGACCGTCGGGCGTCCAGCACAGATGCAACCTCTTCCAACAAGGGCACGAACATATCCGTATGATAATTGGAAGGGACTCCTTGAAGAACTGATGCCAAACGCTCAAGACCCATTCCAGTATCGACACAACAAGTAGGAAGCGCTTGCAGCTTGCTGGAGCCTTCATTGCGGAAGAACTGCATAAAGACGAGATTCCAAAGCTCCAAGAAGCGCTCGTCTGGGTCGTTAATGTGATCTCCCAAGTCCCAAAACACCTCGGAGCATGGACCACACGGACCCGAGTCGCCCATAGCCCAAAAATTGTCACGCTCGTCTAGTTTCCGAATCTTGTGATCAGGCAGTCCAGAGATCTGCTTCCACAATTGACAAGTCTCCAGGTCGCTTTTAAGCACCGTGACGTGCAGTCTGTCAACAGAAAGATCCAATTCCTCCGTCAAAAAGCGCCAGCACATGGCAATTGTCTGCTCCTTGAAATAATCTCCGAAACTGAAGTTGCCCAGCATCTCAAACATCGTGTGGTGGCGGCGCGTGAGTCCTACTTGGTCCAAATCATTGTGCTTGCCTCCAGCTCGCACACACCGCTGTGCTGACGTGGCTCTCGAGAAACCTCGCGACTCTGCTCCACCATCTAGACCGAGAAACGCCTGTTTAAATGGCACCATACCGGCATTCACAAACAGCAGCGACGAGTCATTATCCGGTGGGACGAGCGACGCGCTCGGTACTACGTGATGGCCTTGCGCTTGAAAGAAACGCAGGAAAGAACTGCGGATGTCGTCAGATGCCGACGCGTGCACGGCTCGGGTGGAGGATGTGCTGGGCAGATGCACGCACTTGGAGAGACGCAGCATCATCGTCTCTGGTTTCGTAGCGCTTGACGTCGAGTGGTTGGCTCTGGTCGCTTGAGTTGGCCCGTTTCTATTCGCACGTCATCTGAGTAGGGCAAGGTCACATAAACGGGGACCTGTCCCCACTCAAAGCATCTTTTTGTCATTCGAACTAACAACAGCACGAGGAGAGGGACGATGGACGCGACGCGACAGTCGCTGGGAGGCGGTCGAGACCTGGAAGAGGAAATTGGGTCTGTGCTTCATATCCTGGACACGTCGCTGATGACGCCCCCGTCGGGCAGTGACCTCGTGACTCCCGAGCAGGTGCAGCGACTGCCATCGCAGTATCAGCAGCAACCCAAGCACGAACAAAGGTGTAAACTGGTGACGCTGCAAGAGAACGAAGACGGAGCGTACCCTAAACTTGGCGAAGTGATTGATCTGATGGAGTCACTGGACGCTAATGGAGATGGAGCTATAGGAATGGAGCAGCAGGAGCAGCAATTATATAATACTACAGACAGGAATATCGTCAGTGCGGGACTGCGTTTGGACGAAGGGAAGTCACATCATATCTACAACACCCTTCAAGGAACTCAATCGACCGCATTGAGTAGCAACTACCTTGGGAATAACAGCATATCACCTGCTGGACTGCTAAGCGGTCCATCCATGTCGCCCGCTACTATCAACTGGCTACAAACGCTTGTACCTTCGACAAGCACGGAGAGTCTCACAGGTCTCGTTTCTCCTGCTACTCTCTTCAGCATCGGCGCTAACTCATCGTCCTCTGGAAGTGCCTTAGCTGATGCAGCAACAAGCGGATGTTTGAATCGGTGCGCAGAATGCTGTTGCAATTTGGATGAGTACATTGTTCTCTAATTGTCGTATGCGCTCATGATCGTTTAGGGTACCGTCATGTGATACAATTGATTGGAAAGCATACAATGAGTCGCGCTCTGACAAGAGTCAAAAGGAGCCAGCAAAATGGCGAGTCATTCCTCAGCATGGACCACATGCTGACCTGGAAGCAAGCTTTAGTGGCAGCACAGTCGCGAGCCATAAGCTTCCTACCGGATGTGATGTGACACCGGATTCGAGTGAACAGCAGCAGAAACGTCTCGCAGCGAAGAACATGGCGGATGAGAATAACAAGCGAAAGGCACTCCTATCTCCAGAGTATGTCCAATACGGCAATCCGGTCTCGATGGTAACTTCTTCGAAGTCGCGCGATCCCCTATGCAGCGTCAAAGCAGAAAAAAAGTTGGTACATGTCACGACAAAGGTATTGGAACCGTCGGGGCGTCGGCCGTTCAAAAGGTCCCTGCACCAGACAACTTTACCTATTGCGAAATTGGGCTCAGCACAGCTGCAGCAGGATGTTATGGCAGCTTCTACCGGGGCGCTATGTGCAGATAAAACCGACGATATCGTGCGCTGTAAATGTACTGGCAAATGTCGTAATGCTCGTTGTGCGTGTGTGAAGGTGGGGGTGGTGTGCGGCGCACGATGCAAGTGCGTGGGCTGTGCGAATCCGTTCGTACCGATGGTGCGTGAAGGTATAGATACGCAGGTAGTGGTGCACGATATATGCTTGATGCAGTGTATGTCCAAGGTTAAAGATATGCAAGAGCTGCTGGACTCGACCGTTAGCTACAAGTGTTGCGATGGAGGCAGCGGAGTTGTGCAAGTAAAGCATACCGTCGAGAAGGGGTTCGCTTGCCCGCATTGTGGCGCTCACTTTACATACTCGTGGTGCAATAACCGACTATGTGCTGACGCCAAGAAACCACGCCGCCATTGTGGCAAGTGTCGTCGGTGTGGTGATCATCGCAATCAGCATTGCGACCTCTGCAAACACTGCTACTTTGCCGGTGTGGCAAACAGTTTCCGCTGCAGTTGCCAGTCCTCCGTTAGCAGTAGTAGGAAGGCACGAACGGTGCCGAATCCAGTGGGCACAGTCACAGGTTCCATCCCAAACGAAGAAGACGGTGATACGCAAAGCAGCCCGCAACCATTTGGTGCTGTTGACTTGGCGGTGGATAGTTTTACCAAGCCCGACGACGACAGTAGTACGAAACCGGAGGAGGCAGACACCTCGTGCAAAATGCAATAGTAAAAACGCGTTATGCAGGCTTGAACGATCCAGCGGTTGCGTTGCGTTGTCATTTCATACTACGAAAACGTGCCAGAAGCCGTAGCAGCAAGAGTGCATGCTCAACTTGAGACAGGCGAGTGAGCCACGCGGAGCCGGCCATTGGAGGTCGCTAGAAGCATCTTAATTTACCCCACATGGTCACTATATCGCGCACAGCCATATTGGGGTGACGTGCTCATATCCATGACAGAACCTTCAGCTACGTGTCCATATACGCCGAACGTGGAAACGTCGTTGGGCGCTGTATTTGCTCTTTTATGTAAAGCAACCTGGATGCAAACTCAATCGCTAACTGGGGCTTCGTCACGACCATGTAGAGCTGAGCAGCTTGACTGAGTCTGCGCTGGCGACCTTGGGATCTCTCCCTTGTACGATCGTTCCAGCACTATTAGCCGTCTCAAAGACTCTTCACATATTGCAGCTAAGTCGTAAGCTTCTACCTTTGATGTCAAAACGTCCAAGGTGAAGCCAGGAGGAGTAACTATGCAAGGCACTCTCGCAATCTGAGCCTTCGTAAATGAAAGGTGAACGCGCGGGATTTACTTCACCTGCTGAGATCATCGTGCCCCGCCGTGCTGTTTGTCGCATGGTGTTTGCATAATGAGCTAGCGACCCTTTTTCTTCATGGGATGGTCCCAGAAGGGCGCCGAGTGGCAAGGCTCAGTTATTGAGATAAATGTGTCGTGCAAGGACGACAGCCTCGCGTAGAAAATGCCAGTGTGTTGAGACACGAGCTTGTCATATTTATTTGTCATGCAGGCAGCGTCGGCGTATAATTTACGAGGTGCGGTTCGCATCGTCCATATGTCAACACGCATTTTCTGGTAAGTATACCATGCTCTGGCAAGTAGCCACTTCGATACAGAGTACCGCGGCAGACAGAACAATAGAGTCGTCCCGAGTAAACTCGTACTTATGTGATACTATTGCAAACGACTGGCTAGGGATGATTCTCTCATCACCGGCGTCTCTACTGAGCTTACTTCTGCGTTAATGGTCATTGTTCAAATTACTGCTTACACGTGATCGAGATGATAGGACAAGCTTCTTTCCCCATACGACCGACGCTGAGTATACCTGAAAGACCCCTCGTTCTTTTGCCAGGACGTCGGTGCTAGTTTGATCGATCCAACACAGCTTTTTATAAAGTTTATGCTAGAGCGCTTGCCTATAGGTGCAACGTCGGATGAGGATGACACATATCTTAGGACACCTTCCGAGAAGCAATAGCTTCATGTGGACTGCTGTTGTATTCATACTGCCTGAGTCCGTAGCTGTTCATGTTTTCGATACTACGTAGACAAAAGCAGTGATGAAGGAAAGGATAATCTGTATGTTTGAGGCGGCCGTCGGTTGCTGTTGAAATCAACGTCACTTTCTGCTGCCTTCCAACTGAGCTTTCCCACTTCATTAGTTTCAGCCAAAAGAGAAGATGATGATTTACTAATGCATAGTTCAACTGAACGCCCCCAAGGCTGCTGTTGATTAAACTCTTTCGCTCCTATCTGATTCTCAAAGACCAGTAGGTATGTACATATGAAGTGTAGGTTTGTACCTCCATAATACGAAGTGAAATGAACCGCGAGGAATGATGAATTCATATGATGGGAATCTCGCTGAAGGCTGTAGTGGCCAGTATTTTGTTGAGAGCTAAGTCATCCTTGCACTGACCTTGTTGTTCAAACACGTAGTGTTGTTTCGAAGTGTGAAAAAGTATCTTTACTCAGGTCCCTATTTAGACTTGCCATGCCCTTCCGTTGTATGCACCACAGCCCACTTCGTCAATGTAAAATGACGGTGCGGTGCGTAAATTGATGCCCAACTATTAACCACCATTTCACTTAGTTTTTCATCCGTTTAATTTCTTACACTGAACGACGTGGTGACAAAGTGATGAGAAGTTATGCACACTTCTGATATAGGTGGAGATGATAGCAAATTCATGTTTTCTTTGAAATGCTTGGTTACTACAAGTAAAAATCTTTTAAATTTGCAAAAGCGATCACAATCAAGCCATGTATTCCGCACATGTGTGTGTAAGTAAGACGCTTTGTTTGGTCTGCAATGATTGCAGTGAACTACAAAGTCTTGATAGTTCCACCCACCCTATATGTTTCCAGATGGTGCACGAGACTTGTATATAACTTTTATCCTTACCGCTAATGCTTGGACAGTAATTACGTATGTGCTGTATCTTGCGACGATAGAATCAAGCAGCCAGTGGTTCTAGTGGCATGGGGTATCTCATTGGAGCCGGTTAGGTCCTGTGGGCCGCGTTATCGATACAATACAATACGTCCAAAAAAAATACTGATTCAAAATGGACTGTGGTACATGTAACAAAAGGGTGTGGTACGTATCATAGCTCCCTGTAAATAATATACGTACTCACTCGTATAAGTTCAGCTCTAGATGGGCAATCTGTGAGGAAGTCTATAACACATACTCACATAAACCTTTCATGTGCGTGCACGTATTGGTTCAAGCAGTGTTTGTTGAGCGCTCCTCAACTGCAATGTGTGCGCACTGAACTTTTGTTTAAATGACACTACCTGACAGTCCAATGAAAATGATTACCAATGCATTTCACGGCAACCATGATACCACTTAAGTCTGATACCCTCTTCCTGTGAAACAAGAAGTGTTACTACTGAGGCATTTAGCAAAGTTACAGTGATCTCCGCGTTTAGTCTGCGTTGATATTAAATATCGTACGCGAAATAGTCTCACATGTTTTGTGTGCAACTATTTACCGTAAGATATCAAAATGCTTTCAATCGAATTTAATCTGTGTGTGTGGATCCCATAATGAGTCTACGTTAAAATCGACGAGTGGGTCCATTATTGGACTTGGTAGTTTATATTGTCACACCACGCTGTTTGGCTGGGTTCAATTCCACCTCTATGCAATTCGATGCAGTGTGATTTGGGATAAGAAAATTGCTATGCTAACATTCGGGATTTAGAAATCGAGCCATTTATTTTGCTAAAATTGCTTGCCTAGACCGATGCTTTCATTATTTACCATTTCTTTAATGATCAAAATGCTGATCTCACACAAAGTATGACGTCCTGCGCGCTTCCTTGTGATTTTGCGAAGTTAATTCGATTAGGTAGCTTATATCTTAAGCTACTTGTTTCTATGGGTGTCGATGCCGCCGCCATCGGAGAGATGCCGTTGACTAAATAGTCATCAGACAAGGCGTCGACGGAGAATTCCATCGATATCGTCTGGTACAGTACTCCACACTGCCGCCAAGACGACGAGACGCAAGCGAATCTTGGCCAAACTGCAGCAGAGATCGCTTTAGCTTTCAATGTAGACCACAGCACAGCAACCTTAACACCCCAAATCACCGTCACCACTGCAACTTCTCCACATGGTGTTCCGTGGCATATCGAGCCACCAAAACTGGAACATCATGCTGAATAGAACGAGCAGGCTCCCAGAAATTCTCGATATCCTGTAGTCCACGCCACAACATTCTAACGAAGCCGTGCTGAGTCGATGGTCAGCAGTATCACGGAATTCGAGCACCAGTCCCTGCAACAAAACGTGTGCACGAATTTCTGCGGTCACATCGAGGTCCTTGTCAAGATGAAACTTGAGACGCGACCCATGGACATCATCTTCCGCTCTATTGGGAAGGTGCCGAATAAGAAAAGAATGGGGACATGCCTCCGTCACTTACAATGGACCAACTTAACGCACAAACAGCTTACCCTCTTGCAATCGCTGGTCCACTCGCGACCATAGCACGTAATCACCTTCTGTGAAATTGCAGACCTTGCGGTTAGAGCGAGGCACAGCTACTGTACGGCATAAGTCGCGTTGGTTTCTAACTACTTGGTGAAGGCTGTGTAAGTTGCACCGTAGTTTCTCAATAGCCTGTCGAAATGATTCCTCATCCAAACGCAACGTCCGTGGCAGCTTGTCGCCGGACGTAATACCCACATCTAAAGCAGATGACGCTGGTAGCACTGTTAACGGCTCTACTGGAGCACAATTCCCGAGGGAGGATACAGTGCTGTGATTCAGGTTTGCTTGAATAATCGGTAGAAGGTATGCCCAATTACGAGTGATTAGCCGACTCTCGAGCAGCATCATTCTCAGCACTTGAAGTATTTCACAATTATCTCTTCCACCGTATCATTAATCCACTGTGTGTAAACCGGAATGAAAAAGTGAGATACTCCAAGCCTCTCAGCAAGCTCATCCCCAACTTGACACTTAAAATGTGTGCCATTGTCCGAATTCAGATACGCGGACTGCCAAATCGCTTGTACCAGTTCAATGCAGCTGCCACAGTCGTTGGACTTTTGGCCCAGTTGGCGGCAACGAGTTCACATTAGTGGGTCAGCTCGTCCTTTAGGACTAAGACGTATTTGGCACTGCCGTAGCTGTCTCCAAGAAAAAGGTAGTCCATATGCATGCTCTCATTCCGCGAAACAATAGACCTGTCAAATCGCATTGAATGATTGTGCCACCCTTCATATGCTTGCACGACGAACACTTGATTACAAATCGTAATACCACCGATTGAGTATTTGATACATAAAAGGCGACCCAATAGCTCAACCATCACGTGTACGCCACGATGGTCTTAAGCTCCGCAATGAGCAATCACAAGGACGCACCATATTAAAGCCCTGGCCTTGGACGGCACCCATGGTTTTCTTTCAACCAAGATTGGTGCATCGCTCACCACAGCACCTGCCGGTGCTGATTGTTTGTAAGAGCGCTGTGCCTTCACAAATCTACTTGCGCGGGCCACGTGAATTGTCCATCTTGTAGTGGGCGAAGCTCCGATATAGATTGCGTGGTCCGGGTAGTGACACGTTTGACGGCCAGCATTGTCTCTTCACCAGACGATTCAGGCTGCCCGAGCGAGACACCATATCAGCCCAGATAATGTTTTCACCGTCTATATGGTGAATTGAATAGAGACATTTGACTAGCGTCAGTACCCGCCGCTGATGTTTTCCTTTAATGTGCTGCTTGGATTTTCGATCAGACGAAAAAAGCTTGATCAGGTTTGAGCAGTCACAATATATGTGAAGCCCTTCTCCCGGTTCAGCATGTAGTCCAGATCGCCACAAGCTTTGGCAGTTAGGTAGCCATCTATTTCTACGGTAGACCAGTTTCATTGTGCACCATTAAGCAAACCACCACAAAAGATGAGTAGTTCATCTTGCTGCTCTCCAACTGGCACATTCTCCTGCCAATTACGCACTTGCGTCAGAACCAAGGCATATCCTGAAGCGGGGTTGCACGGCGGTTATTACACTCGTTATAGTGTGTATCCACACCAATCAAAGGTCGATGGATCTGAGTGGTACAGTTTTGGTACTATGCATAAATGGTCGTACCGCACCAAATCGGTTAGGGATATGGGAGATTACTTCTGTTATACGATCGTAAAGGGTCAGTCCTGCAGATGTTTTACACCATAAGGCTTAATGGGTAAAGCCCTGGATTGTAGAAGTCAGACAGGGTTTTATGGTTTTCTAACCGTAGTTGGAGGATAAATAAAGTTCAGTCCCCCTTTTGAAACATCGCGCTTAAGCGCCTAGCAAAGGCGTAGTGTGTGATTAAAGGCGTTTGTAACGGGGTAGTTCGTTTCATGATGCTGACACCAAACGGTGTCAATATAGATATTGTCTAGCATGACAATTCTCTACCAATATTATCCGTAGCAGGTAATATTAAAGGAACATTATCCACTTCGAATGATATTCATACGCTGCTCAAAGATTGTTTGATACAAAATATATCAAATAAGGTTACCACCAATTGCTGCTAGACGCATGTGGTGGAGTCCATCTCACAAAACTGCTTATGTGAAACGCAATCTTTATCTTGCCCAGACTTGCCGACTCACGAAGGGATAATTCCGATCTGTGCCTTTTAGTATAACCTTGTGCTCACCTTCTTTACCCGTCGGTTGAGCTGGCTTGAGATCTTCGTAATAGCCTTGGGAAATGTCGATCTCGCTGGACGGTTGGGCTGAAAGTTCGCTTCCGGTGTGGAAATCTTCACACTGTTGTGGAGTGGAGATCGCTCATTTCCTGAGACGATCCCGACTCTCCACTGGCGCCCGGACGACCGACTATCGGAGGGGGTAACCCGATTCCGCGATATGTATGTTCTTGCTCACCTTGTGTACCCGTCGGTGGGGCGGGTTGCGCTCTTCTTGGTGGACTTGAGTTGAAGCTGGACTTGACCGTCTTAGGGATAGGTGTTGATCGGGTTGAAATACTTCACCCGGTCAACGTAGGTGCGAATCGCGTGGAAATTCTTCACTTGATCGCTTGTAACTGGGGCTTTCTCCCAGAGTTGCTTGTGCCAGGGGTGATGCTTGATGCGTGAGCCTTCTGACCACTTGAGCCGTCTCGCGATCTTGAATCTGAAACGTAAGGTTCACTGCGTCCTATCGCAGTTGAGGGGGGGGTGAGAATTGACCTTCCGCCTGGCCAAAAAATCCAAGGGCGAAGTTCACTCGAGTCGTGGGTGACTCTCTATTAAACGGGAGGCCAAAGATCCTGCCCGGAAGATGTTGACGCGTGTCTTTCGTTGCAAATTCAATTCTGTTTAATGTCAAACAACCAAACCTAAAACTTATGACTATGCCTATCTGTTCGCTAGGTCGGCTATCTATGTCATTCACCTCTTACATCCTGTGGTCCACAGCAGATGATCCAAAGTGGATCGCCCCACACCGGATCGTACAGTACCTAATCGTAGGGTACCAGATCGCGGAGTACCGGATCGCGGATTACCGGATCGCGGAGTTCCGGATCGCAAAGCACCGGATCGCGGAGTTCCGGATCGTAAAGCACCGGATCGCGGTATGCGATCCACGGCGGGTACGTAATCTACCTAGATCATCGTGACACACTCCGCTTGACCTTTACCCCTTCGTGACCGTTAAGTGGGTTACTTTGCATAATTTCCACAGTCATTTTCTGTCACTCAGCCGTGTTACACTATCAACCGTGCCAACGGACCCATCTCCGTACGCGCTCAACCAATCAAACTGATTTTCGTACTTAAGGCGGATCGCGCGATCCACACTTCCGTCATTCTTCCTTTGCGCTTCTCCACAATCACCCCCTGCACCGACCATCGTCGTACAGTGTCGATGGACGGTGCACCCACAATGCTCATGGCTCCTGCATCACTTGCACCTCCCACATTGGAGGCCGATAGCCCGATTCCGCCTTTTACTCCGCCGCCGGGTCTATCCGTTAGAAGGCCAGTTGTGTTGCCATCGTCATGGGTGAGCTCTGCATCCTTGTTGAATTGTGATACTTTGACTGCGGGGATCGCAGCGCTCTACGGTCAGCTGGAAATTCATGCCGCGGTTGTTGCCAACTACCACTCGCTGGAGGAGTTATGTCGGGACCAGAAACTGCAGATCGACCGCCTGCAAATGCAGTTGCAATCGTACGTCGAGATCGCCCCGCGCTTGGCAACCTATGGTTAACAGCGCTATCTCGGCCTCTGGACGGATCGCCAAGACATGATCGAGAGGTTACACGGGTTCCAGAAGGAGCTGGCGCGGCGCTTGGGTCAAGATCACGTGGACCGAGAACTCAAGACGGCTCTCTCAGAAGCCGAAAAGAAGTTTGAACAAGTCGAGGATCTGCGCACTCGTGAATCGTCCGCCGCCCAACAGCAAGTGGAAGCGATGACTTCGCGCCTGGCTGTTACGAAACAGAATTTAGCTGGCGATCTCCAAGCTGCAACAACCAAGGCATCTAAGTACAAGAAACCCTTCCACAGAGTTGACAAGAAGCTTGACACGACCAGACTGGCGTTGGAAAACATGTCGAAGACCCATCAAGACTGCCCTGTGAACAAGAACTCGTAGAGGCGGAGCTGTAACGGCTGCAAATGGACCTCGCGGACCGAGACGCTCAGGTGGATCGTCTGTGCAATTAAGCATCGAACTGGGAACAGCAGTGTCTCTTGGCCGTTCGCGATCGCGACACGATCCGGACTCATCTGGCTCAATAGGCTTCTGGGTCACTCCGCCTTCCCTCGAATGTACTGTCCATGGCCTCCGATACCGCACCAACCGGCAAGCGTTTTATGTCCACGGATCCCGGTCTCATGATCAAGCGTCCCCGCACTGCGAAGATGACGCAGGCCGGAACAGAATCGGTGGATAACTCTAAGGCCAAGTCATCCAGTGAGTCTTCGCGATCTGCTGGACCAGTGCGATTTGCCAAATCTTCCAGATCCGTTTAGCTCTGACCCGGGTACCTCGCGATGAATGGTTACCCGAATATCGCGATCGGGTACCCTGGTCTCACCCCCACGAACACCCGTGGATGGCCCGTCGTCTCAGCCTGACCTCCGCGGCGGAGCTGTACTTGGATATCTTGTTCAAGCACCTGACACGGCCGGCAGGGTACATCTTCCCAGCACCCACCGCGCCTCGATCTATAGCTGCTCCGCCTGAATCTTAGTGGATTCCACGACTGGTTACTTCGGATTAAGTGTTAGCGTTGTACCAGCAAGAGCCTTGGAACCAATACCATAGCCAAGTCACACCGGTCTCGTTTCACGAGACTGTTTGGTTCGCAGACTTGGCATCCGCGTACCGAGACTTCGAGACCCGGCATCGACAGGATCTGTGGGAAGCAACCCACGCCATTTATTTGCCGGCCGAGCAGCGCGATCGCGATCCAGAGTTGGCGCGGATTTACCAGCAGCGCAAACAGCGGCGATCGCGATGCGGACACCGATGGAAAACCGTATTGCGCTTTATCGTTCAGGGATGATCGACGGACACTGCGATTTGGATATGTTCATGTATCCGTTCGACATGCATCTCTCGTCACTGGTCGAGATGCGTTCATGGTACCTGGGTTTGGGCGATTCTCAGAAAAACATTTCAACCTGATCTCCGCGTCGGCGCGTTTGGATACCGATGAACCCTGGCGCAACCAGTTTCGATCCTGCATTGAGGATCATTCCGGGTCGTCGATCGCTCGCTTGTCGGGTAATTGTTTTTCGAAGTAGTCCATAGCGATCCGACAGTCCGTTCTAATCGGTCAATGTATATCCATCTTTTTCTTCCTTGTTGATTATCACTTGACTACATCTAATTTTACTTTCTAACTACTCACTGCGATCGGGTTTGATTTTCTGGATCGCCACACACAACCCCTCCCTTCGTTCCCATCTGCAACCTTTTTGCAGACAACTTCATATTCTACACATCGGTTATACATCCACCGCTGCTTCGTGTGATTGCATCACCTCGAAGCGATTCTTGCTGACTCGATCGGGATCGAACTCTTGCAGCAAGACCCCACAGCTCAAGTCGACCTCATCTATCCAATTCACATCGACCGAACCCTTCCATTGCACCCAATACTGGCGCTACACTCTGCCAAAACGGGTCCGTCTTCCAGATCGCACATCCAATTTTTTCTCGACTTCAAATTCGTCTTTATCCAATGTGCGTTCCCAGCTATCTTCCGGCAGCAGGGTTCGTCAAAATCTACGCGATCCGCCTCTTAAACGTTTAACAAATTTTTTGGCCGATCCGGAAAGGTTTTCACCCGCTTAAGCTTGGATATATGTACCAACGGGAATAATCGATACGTTGTATCCGAGATCTCCAACCGTACTGCGTGTCTCCCGCAAAGTTTTTTAAGCCGGAATGGTCTATGCCACATATGTGCCAGCTTTCGGGCGTATCCTTCTTTCACTCGATCCAAATAGAGCCACACTTGCGATCCAACTTCGATCTCATGTGATCCGTCCTCAGCGTTGTGTCGATTGGCTCGGTCATGGATCGCAATCCACAGACGATCGTTAACGGCTTCTCTTGCCCTCTGGTAATGACATTGCATATGATAACGCCATCTTCTTGGATCTTGGTCCCGTCGTTTGGTGCTTCCCAAAGGCAAAGTCGCTTCCAGCGTCGATCGTGGGTCCCAACCGTGGATCAGGTAGAATGGCGTATCTCCTCGTTTGCGATCCTGTGCCGTATTGATGGCGAACGTCAACTTCTCAGAGATGTCGTCCCAATCCTCCTGATGTGTATCTGTAACGTACATCTTCAACGCCCTCGTCAAGGTCTGCACCATTCTTTCTGCTGTTCCATTCGCCTGGGATCGGTATGCCATAGTAGCAGGCTGTTTCTGTCCTGCGATCCAGTTGAACGCTCGAAAAAATTGGAAATGAATCCGGGCTTTCGATCATGGCGGATCGCCTCACTGCCTCCAAATTTCCGAAACACACACTCTTCGTAACTTTCGGCAATCGTCTGAGCAGTTCTGGAGAAACTCGCCTTGGCGATTACGTACACTAAGAACAAACCCACCCACAGCAGCAACTCAGTGTTTCCCTTGAAAGATTGCGGCAACGATGGAAGTGACCCATAGCGATCATCTGAAACGGATAGGTGGCTTGAAAATTCCCCGGCGATTCGCCGCGCAGGACAGCTTTACCTTTTCCTGTTGTGCAATCCATACATCCAATCACATAACTCTGGACACTACGATAGAGTCCTCTCCAGTGGAACTTGGACCGGATTCGTTGGTATGTTCTGCCAAAATCTTGGTGTCCGCCCTTCAAACTTGAATGATAATGATGCAGGAAAAATTGCTGCAGTAGTTCCAGTACCACCAAACAAAGTGATTCCACGCGGCTATCTGGGTCTTTGGTCGATCGCGGGCAGAAAAACAGTATTCCGCTTTCGTCAACTTCATAATCGAGCGCGATCCGAGCACATAACTTTGCTTCTTTAATAATCAACTTTGTGATGTCTCCGATCAGGAATTCATTTAGGTTGGCGATCCAACTCTCTTCTTCCTGTGCTTGCTTGATCCTCTCGATTCTGATCCTCTGAACGAGTTCCTCTTGCATTACTTAAGGAAATCGTTGTCTCCTCACGGCTATACTAGTAACGGCAGATAACTTCACGACTCGATCGACACTTTTGGGTGTCAATGACTCGTCCAACCGGTTCAATGAATGTAAATTCTGACGATCTTGATAGGATACAGTCATCATACCTTTATCTTGTTGTAAAGCGTTGCTTTCCAGTCGATCGGCACTCTGATTACAGTCTTTATTTATGTTTTAAACTTTATAGATCGGCCACGATCGAAGTTTTTTTCATAGCTTTGTGACGTAGCAGCTGTAACCCGGGCGCCTTGCAGTCAATTTCTATGCGCATCGGCCGGATCATTAAGTTAGAATTGCCGCAAATGATGATGCGCCCCCGCGCCTGATCGGCCAGGAGATCGAAACCTAGTAGCAAGCCACGATATTCGGTTTCGTTTACTGTCAGGTCTGTTGCGTATTAGGTTGCGACATTCACGATCTTCCATTCCGGGAGTAAACACACTATAGCACAATACGCCCCGCCTTTTCGCTTGGTTCAGGCCGATCCATCGAAACTGACCACCAAAAGACTTTCACCCTACTTTACCGTTGGTGGTGGCATACTTACGGTATGTTTCGGCTGTTTCCTTAGGGCGATTGCGATCAACATCTCGTCAACACCTTCGCGCGGGGTAATGCTGGTGGCAAGCGTACCAAGTATTACGTCTTCTCCCTTTTCACATTTATTGATCTCCAGCGTCCAATTTGATAGCAACGCCGCCCATCTCGCCAGCCTCCCATTAAGGCCTGGAGATTGTACCAGCCAGGCCAACGTTGAATGACGTGTGAGTGCCTTGATCTCTCGTGCAACCAAAATAGCATAGCCGATATCTAGGATGCGCATCAGAGCTAAAACTTCTTTCTCCACCATTCCATAGTTAATCTCTTTGGGTTTAGCGTTCTGCTAGTGAACGTTACGGGCCAGTATACTCCATCGTGTTCCTGTAGCAAAGCTGCAGATACTGCCTATTTGCTAGCATAGACCACGATCACTGGAGGGCGATCCAGATCAAAATGTTTAAGAATTGGAGTCTTAGTGATCTTATCCTTCAGCATAGTGAACGAATTCATCGCCTTCTCCCATCGACTTCTGTCTGTGCAAGAAGGATCGCCACCAGCAACACCGGAAAACGTTGGATCGCCCCCTGTAACACTGTAACGGTTCGGATCGCCCCCAGCAACACCGGAAAACATTGGATCGCCCCCTGTAACACTGTTACTGTTAGGATCGTGATCACCAAGACAATTCCTGTCGTCAGCTCTCTTTCCATTTCGTGTTAACGATTCTGCTTCATCCATACGTTAGATCTCGTGGAAGTCGTATCGCGTAATTCGTATAGCACTGATGCATATTTCGCAAAGCCTTCAACGAATCGGCTATAGCAATTTAAACTACCTAAAACGACTGCATCGACCGCAGCGTTCGAGGAAACGGGATATTGACCAGCGATCCGATATTCTTCGGGTGGGCTTTTAATCCAGCGAGTGATACTCGATGAACAAGATAGTCCACCTTGCGTCGTCCCCAAAATTTTTGTTCAGGCTGATCGACAAATTCCACTTATCGCATGCACGTAGCGTTCCATCCACTCTTTCGTACAAATCGGCCTACGATGAAGCTGGAATCAGTATGTCATCGATGTACGATCTTCGACCTAGCACAGATAATGTCCGACTGGCGTCCGGCTCTCCTTTTGTGAACACGTTGATCTGATTAAACGATTCCGCGGAGGAGGCGCCCGCATCAGCACCGTTCTTCATATATTCATGCAATGCATTGTTGGCAAATCTAGGGATCGTTTATTAATTCAAGCGGCATCCGTAGCCATTCATACAATCCTGAGGGCGTAATGAATGCTGAAATCCCTCTTGCTCGTTCTGTCTCTTCCACCACCCAAAATCTGCTTGCCATATCCAGTGAGCAGTACCACATCGCTTTGTATGTGTCTTGTAATAGTTCATTGATCAGTGGCATTGGGTACACCATCAGTCTTGTTAACTGATCTACCCGCCGATAGTAGATGCACAATCGAATGTCCTCGCCATCCTTTTGACGATAACGACGATTGGCGAGGCCCAAGGTGATGTGGAAGGTCGAATAAATTTAGCCGAGAGCAGTCCTTAAATCAAATCCGCTAATTGTTCGCGAAACTTATGTGCTACTGGCCGTACTCTTTGCGCAATCGGGCTCGCTCCTCTTACATCAATACCGCACATCGCCCCTCGTGCGGCTGGAGGGAGTGCGTTTCCTTTATCAATAAGAAGGTGCTTGTTTCTCCTGATCAGTTGTCGTAATCGTTCTTGGTCATCAGTCAGCGGTACATCTGGATCGCCTTCCTGAATATCGTCGATCGCAACTTCGGCAGTGGGCATAACAATGTCGGGTAGTACCGCCATGTGATAATCCACATCCTCAGCACACAACTTCCCACTTTCAGGACTACAGGTAGCAACGTCCAATTCCCTCGCGATTCGGTCATTACTCGGATCAGGCTCATCGTCGATCGTCACACCTGGTGAAGATCCGGACACTTTCCTTGACTGATCCCCTGCTCCTTCGTTCGTCGTAAGCTCATGTCTCGTATGAACCACGGGCCTGACACTTTTCGATTGGTGATCCACTTGTCGATCGTCGATCGTGTCATGCGATCCATCATGCGATCTATCGGAATCCCTGTCCTTTTCTTCGCGACATCTGCCATTGGACTCCCCGGGTGTCGAACGCTTACGCCCTTCTCCTCGATCGTGTTAACGACACGTGGCAGTGGGTCCACACGTGGAGTCACTTTCTCGTCTACGATCGTTCTGTTCTCTGACACATTGTTCCCCGTAGGCCTACATAAAACTTTCTTTGGCGTAGGGTAGGTCGGCTTTTTCAAAAGCGGTCCCGCCTCGGCACTTCTTCTCCTCTCTTTCAGTCGCAGCTTCAAAGTCTAGTGTCTGCCACTCGTTGTACCGTTGCGATCCAAACGAGAAGCAGCCAAGGTATCGAGGTACCATGTCGGCAGCCATAATCCAGCCTAGAGCCGGTCCGTGGCCGAGAATCGTTTCTTTGTCGCCGAGGTTTGTCAGCTGCAAATACTTGATCCGACCTATTCTAGTGGTTACGGTGGGTATACATGTAGGATAGCGCCTCACCCAGATTTTGGAGTTAGAACGGACGTTGCCGATCCTTATCTCCGCCGATCTACCAATCGGCACCACCAAGTGCTGTTCTGGGGTCATGATCGGTTGCATGGATGATCCGTACAGAGGTCTGCGTCCTGCTAAATGAATCCTCACTTCATCTGGCAATAACAGAGTCCCGTCCACCAAATCCGGACGTACACCTGCGGGCACCATGAAGTCCATACTCAGGATCACCTCTTGACCGACTTGATCACCCACTCACACGTCATAATAGTATACCAGCAATCCATCCAGGGTGATCTTGATCTTGGTACGTCCTTCGGTCATGTACGTGTTTCCACCTATCCCCACACACTCTTGTTTCTGATTCTCGTCAACGACACATCCTACCTTACGAGCAAAGGCGGTGTCCACAATCGAGATCTCAGCTCCTGAGTCCAATAGCACTGTGGTCTTTTCGTTGTTAATATTCCCGATTACTGTAGCTTGCTTGAACCATTTCCTGGTGCATGGTAAGTATAACCTTGACTCGCCCGGCGCTTTGACAAGTTCCATCTTGGCGGGCCAGCGGGAGTACTCATCATGTCTTCTAACACTCGAAATAGAACGCAGACAGTTTGAAAAATCACATGTATTTTGACGATCAAACTGCTTGATCCTCGCTTCCGTCAACCCCCTTCCTCTGCGAAAATGCGTATACGCAGAGCCTAGAACGCTCGGCTCGTACCAGATTCCAACCTGGCAAGCGTCCTGATTGAGCATCTTCTCGGCTTGTTCCGGCAACATCCCTGCATGCTTGGTAGGCACATATCACTGACGGATCATGTTCTAATACTATTCTATCGGGCACTTTCCTTCTTTGTGGACGTCCTTGCATACGGAACACACGTAGCAGCATTTGTCCGCAGGATGCCCCTTACGTCCGCACTTCTGACACGTAAGTCTTTTCCATCATCCGCGATCTTCATGTCTCTTCAACCCACAGTGAGTACACAATATTTGAGGCCTTCCACGATCGTAGTGGCGATCGCGATCGACTTGCTCACCTCGAATGAGTGGGTCTCCCGGATTCTGAGCGCGATCCGCAGAGGTAGCCATGTACACATTGTGTCAATCCGGCTTCTGAGCGCAATCCGTAGCCGTGGCCATATACCCGTTGCGTCAATACGAGTCGGAGTCCGATCCGCAAGAATCTCTGTCGGACCCACTACTCTCGTTATCCACATGGATTACTCTCACAGCTCGCGCTGGTTTTGCTAGAACTTGGGAAGCCTGTGGAGCAACAGGCTGTCGAAATTTGCTCTACCCCATAGAGGCATGGGCTTCTTGAACTTCCAGGTTTCATATTCTTGCAGCGTTTCTTCCATATCACCTGCATCTCCAAGACGTGGCATCATTAGCATTTTACCCAGATCGTGATCATCCAGGGTGCCAATCTAATGATTCACATGTTCCTTTCGAGTGGCGGGCGATCCATTTCGCATCGGGATCTTCGCCTGGATCGCGGCCACGTTCAGACGGTAAAAGTACTCCAATGGCTTCTCGTTCGATCGCTTACGCGCATGGTAAAAGAGTCTCCCGACTGAAACACTATTCTTCCCTCCGTATTTTGCCACTAAGCCTTCCAGGAGTGCCTTCCACGAAGTCCTCGTTAAGCGGCTAAGCTGGTTATACCAGTCAAGCGCCAATACCGTAAGTAGATCGCTGAGCACCAAGCACTTCTCCACTTCTGGCACTTGATCGCGTAGGAGCGCCGACTTCACCTTACTGATCCAGTTCCTGGCCCGTTCTTCTTTCTTCTCTCGGCCACTGAATTCTTTCATCTCGGTTATGGCAGACATTCGAATCGTTTGGTTACCGAATTCGCCGCTTTTCGCCGCTCCTACCGCGCCACCTGCGGTATTCACTTGCCTCCTTGCACCTGATGCTCATGACCATAGTCATGCGATCCGTTGGGACGCGATCCATCTGACTCAATGTCAATGTCCGACATGTGGATCTCCGGTTCGGGATGGCGATAAATTGATTGTTCAGCGTTCATGTGAGCTGGTTCTAGCTCGTATTTCTTCATGGCTGCTCAATGCTGCTAAGAATTCACTTGTTCTGACTCCACCACGTTCATAAACTGCGTTGCCGATGGCTTTTCCGCTTGCGCTTCTGCCGCATTCCGTTTAAATGTCTTCCGCAACCGATCCGCGCCCTTTGGTCCTAGCGACATCCGTTGGATCTCGAACGAATCATTCGAGTCCTCTTCCGATTCCGCTGAAGCGTATCGAGACGATCCAGTGTGTTCACCCTAGGGGGAATCGTTTATCGGCGTGAGAACTTGATCCATCGTAATCCGTGGCATAACCCGTTGATCCAAGTGCCGATCGGCGGGGTCGGGTTGCTTTCAGGGTCACGTATACCCAGAAGCGGACTTAACGTCTTAAACAGCGACTGTCTGGCAGTGATCACTCGATCGTGGTTGCATTCTAGCAGAGTTTGTGCGTTGAACATTCCCGCCGTAAACCCCGCCTCCGTTAGCAGATTGATTGAACGCCGGAGCGCCTTTAACACGTTGAGGGTTGGTTTCGGCGCTATTTTCGGTCCGCGTAGCAATCCGGTCAGCTTCGCCTTGATCGTCTCGAGTTATGTATCGCTCGACAGCAGCTTCTTCAGCTCCTTCAGGCGGTATCCCTGATGAGATCGTCGAATTGCCAATGTCCAAACTTCACTTCGCGATCCACTGACTTTGGGCCTTGATCTTTCGTCTCCGTCTTGACCTGGCATCTGGATGGCTTGTTCTTGTAAACATCTCGATGTGTGTTCGCCTCCGCTTCCTTCTCAAAGTCTTTCAAACATCTAGTTTCTTTCTTCATCACCTCTGATGGTTCATCTAAAATAAAAGGAAAGTTTTATGCATTTTTCTAGGACTTCCATCCTGCGGCTCGCGCTTTTCAGTGCGATCCGCGGTGGCTCCTGAAGGGGCTTCAGGAGGGAGTTGGGATATTTCTTTTAGATCGTGAAATCGATCTTCCTCTTTTTTTTCTTGTCATCAAATCCCTTCCCAAAACTTTGACGATCAGGAGATCCTTTGTCTTCGTGTGTCTGCCACGATCTCTCTTTCTCTGACGCTTCTATCCCAGTCTCAGCATTGATCTTCGCTTCTTCGCTCAGGGACTCACGGTAAAATCCCGATCCACCAGAAGATCTGGGCATGCGCACCATTGTGGTGGAGTGGCGATCGCTCATTTCCTGAGACGATCCCGACTCTCCACTGGCGCCCGGACGACCGGCTATCGGAGGGGGTACCCCGTTTCCGTGTTCCGTACGTTTTTGCTCACCTTGTGTACCCGTCGGTGGGGCGGGTTGCGCTCTTCTCGGTGGACTTGAGTTGAAGCTGAACTTGACCGTCTTAGGGATAGGTGTTGATCGGGTTGAAATACTTCACCCGGTCAACGTAGGTGCGAATCGCGTGGAAATTCTTCACTTGATCGCTTGTAACTGGGGCTTTCTCCCAGAGTTGCTTGTGCCAGGGGTGATGCTTGATGCGTGAGCCTTCTGACCACTTGAGCCGTCTCGCGATCTTGAATCTGAACCGTAAGGTTCACTGCGTCCTATCGCAGTTGAGGGGGGGGTGAGAATTGACCTTCCGCCTGGCCAAAAAATCCAAGGGCGAAGTTCACTCGAGTCGTGGGTGACTCTCTATTAAACGGGAGGCCAAAGATCCTGCCCGGAAGATGTTGACGCGTGTCTTTCGTTGCAAATTCAATTCTGTTTAATGTCAAACAACCAAACCTAAAACTTATGACTATGCCTATCTGTTCGCTAGGTCGGCTATCTATGTCATTCACCTCTTACATCCTGTGGTTCACAGCAGATGATCCAAAGTCGATCGCCCCACACCGGATCGTACAGTACCTAATCGTAGGGTACCAGATCGCGGAGTACCGGATCGCGGAGTTCCGGATCGCAAAGCACCGGATCGCGGAGTTCCGGATCGTAAAGCACCGGATCGCGGTATGCGATCCACGGCGGGTACGTAATCTACCTAGATCATCGTGACACACTCCGCTTGACCTTTACCCCTTCGTGACCGTTAAGTGGGTTACTTTGCATAATTTCCACAGTCATTTTCTGTCACTCAGCCGTGTTACACTATCAACCGTGCCAACGGACCCATCTCCGTACGCGCTCAACCAATCAAACTGATTTTCGTACTTAAGGCTCATCGCGCAATCCACACTGCCGTCATTCTTCCTTCGCGCTTCTCCACACTCCCTTGTCCCTCGACTGGAGCGACGTTCTCTAGCGTAGTGTCAAACCTTGCCAAAGTTATAGCAGGTCCGTGATGGTCCTTCGTGCGCCGTCCTAGTTGCTTCTTCGGGTACTGCTTACCCTTCCCCTTGCCTGTGTAGAGAGCCGTTGCATCTTCTACCCGTGCAGCCTTATTCTGGCGCATTTCTTCAGCGATCAACATGCTCACGAGGTTAGTAAAACTGAAGATTGCGACTGGCATAAGAAATGCCTGCACCTAGCTCTCGAAGCTTGAAGGTAGACTCCGCAACAGTACCGCGCACACGTCCTCTTCACTTGAATCACAGTTCGCGCGCTTTATCTTCATCACGAGATCCTCCACTCCATCACGTGACCGCTAAATCTTTATGCTGTAAACGTGATCGAGGCGAATTTTTCCTACAGCCAAAGTCGATTCGCCATGTCATGACTGTGATGAAATTGCGCCAAACGTCCCCACTCTTCTCTTGCAGTGGCCGAGTCAATGACATGCATTAACTGCGAGTCGCTCAGGTTTAGCACGATCGTGGCGTGGGATTGCTGTTCCTTGGCATCACTTGTATCTCATCGCCCGCGATTGCGCCCCACAGCCCCTCCGACATCATTAACATCATCATCTTGTAACTCCACAACCCATAGTTTGAGCCGTCGAAAGGCTCGACCTCTAAACCGGGGTCGTTGCTTGGGCTCATTACCTCTTTGAATTAGACTAGGTTGCGGAGCCTGTTACTTAGAAGAAGATGGCTCACGGCCGGGAATGAAAACCGAAAAGTGAGTTGCATTCTGATCGTTCATAGCTTCAAAAAAGAATGGCTAGTAGTATCTGGTGACTCCCAGCCACCTATTTCACGGCCTTTTTCTATCGCTTTCTGTTTTACCTATCACTGGGTAATTACATCTCGTAAATGCATTTTGTAAGAATTTTGCTGTGTCATATGCAGAATGTAAAAGAATGCGTGCGTCGGGAACGCAACTGCGGGTAGGTCAAAGTTCTGGTGATCCCCAAACACCAAGCGAATCGCTACTGCAGCAGCAAGAAAGGCGGCTACGCGCATGCGTTCAGCCGCGGAAACTGCATCTCACACCTCAGCAGCAGGTGATTCGTCGCCTGTTGTTGTGAATCGTCCACGTGATGAGTCACCACGCGCGACAAGTAACTCCGCTGCGTCTACAGCGGGTACCACGAGTCGTAATCAAGATGAGTCTGAAAAAGAGCTCAACTTTTCTGGCGGGTAGGATGATGAATCCGATTCGAAGGCGACACCTTATGCCTCCAGATTATCCGGGATGGACACTGCAAGAGCCAGGTTGACTGGCTCTGGCAAGCGTGATGGCATCATGTCCGAGATCTTCGGATCGAGTGATTATTCCGATATGTCTGCGCCTCACGCAAGTCCATCCAACGATAGGACGCGTAAAGATGGTGGTGATACAACTATACATCACCACGAGCGAAGTAACTCGAGGGATCGGGGTGTCATTGGTGTCAGTGCTCATGCTGGCACCAATCCAGAGGCCAGGAACCGAAATGTCCTGCGCCACGCTCCTCAAGTGGAGTCTCTGTGGATGCCGTCATCCAGAGAGTTGGACCGGTTGGCCGGCATGATTACAGCTCGGGATCTAATCCTGTTGTTCGATTATAAGAGGATTTGTCATTTTAATTTCAGCACGGAAACTATCCGTGCTGAGGAAGACTTCTTTTTCGATGTGTTCTTCAATAATCGGTGGTACAATGGTAGCCGTGTTCGAGACGGTAAATTTGTGGTGCAGGGATCGTATGCCTTCATCCATAGTATCAAGAGCATTAACCGTGAGGCCTGGCTCGGTTAAGTTGGTGCAGCTCGCATCAGGTTTGAGAAGCCAAACCCACAACCCAGTCGGGGAGCGATACAAGTTGCACCGGCTTTCAAGAGAGGCAAGATTATCCTGTCTCATTATTTCTGTCATCATCCACCAACCCTACAAGAGTATAGTGCTCGAGAATCACTTGCCGATTGACAACGTTAGTCAGTGCCGTCGGTACCCTTTCCTTGTCTCGCTTACCCTTAGTTTGGATTTAAATGACCTGTTCCAATCCTCGTATCCATGGATTCTCCGGCGGGATCACCACCTATTGGTCTGGGGCAGTGATCGGTTGCATATTTACTCCGTATGGAGGTCTTTGTCCTGCCAAGCGAATGTAAAACTCGTCTGGTAAACAAAGCGTTCCGTCTTCTAGATCCAACCGTATTCTTGCTGGCACCATTAAATCCATACTTAAGATTGCTTTTTGGCCAACTTGATCGCCTACCCAAATACCAAAATAATACATCAGCCAGCCTTTTGACATAAAATCGATCTTAGTACGTCCCTCAGTCTTGTAAGCGTTCTCTCCGATTCCTACACATACTTGCTGCTGACTACTATCGATCGTACATCTCACTTTAAGAGCAAAGGTAGCGTCTATGATTGAAATCTAGCTTCAGAATCGAACAGCGTGGTGGCCTTTTTGTTGTTGATCTTGCCCACCGCTTAAGCCTGCATAAATCACTTTTCAGGTGTGTGGTATTATCAATATCCTCGCGAAGCACGCATTGCGAGATCGAGCTCCATCTGAATGGGAGATCGCAAATATTCACCCACCCTTTTCACACTAAATTTATACGCAGAAGATAATTTTTTGAATTAAATGTATAAACGATCAGGCCGATCCGACTGTTACCTCCTTAATCGATCCTTTCCCTTTTCACAAATGCACATATGCATAGCCTAGAACGCTCGGCTGGCGCTATAATCATACCTGGCGGGCGCCCTGATTTATCATCTCCTCAGCTTTGACCATTAATAGTCCAGAGTGCTTATTTGGGACGTACTACTTGCGGATCAGGCTGAAGAACTCTTTCCTTGGGGCATGCATCGCTCTCTTAAACCTCCCCACAAGGATGACACACATGCAAGCACTTGTCCGAGGGATGTCATTTGCGGCCACACTTCTGACGGATTACTATTTCTAGCATCCGCAATCGTCATGTCTATTCGAGCCACAGTGTGTGCATTCCTTCAATGCTCGGCCGCAATCGCGATAATCATCCCTGTCTGTCTCGTGCAATCTGTCGCGTTGTTCTCCCGGGCCTGAAGCTCGATCAGAGGTGGTCACCAAACAAAACGTTGTGGCGAAACCCTTCATCATCCAATCTATCCGAGCTTTAGTCGAATCGCGTTCGTCTCTTTCCATACGAATAGCTTTTGCTACTCGCGGCGTTTTTAAATATTCCGGGGCCGACGCTGTCGCTGATCGCACTCGATGCTTTGTCGGCTCGGTCAGCTCTTTGTTGTGCCGAAAACTTATACGTCAATACGCGTATAGAGTCTATTCTATCGTGTCCGCGTCCTGCAATCGCAGTAGAGTCAGTTGTTTCAACAACTCTCGATCGTCCAAAGTAATAGTGAAATTTTACACATGTTCACGTCGGCTTGCAGACGATCCATCTCTGAACGCTGCCGTTGCTCGTATAATCGTGTCACATTTACCCGGTATAGATATAAATTCCAAACGGGGTCACATTCGGCCGTTCACGCGCGTAAAAATACTGGCTTCCCGCTGAGATTCAAAATCCCCCATTTTGGACCATGAAGCTTTTAGAAAAAGGGATTACACTCATTGCGGGTCGTTCACCTTTACTGGTTGTACCAATTGCGGACAGGTTCTGTCAGCACGTCCCCAATCACCAAACATTTTGCGTGATCTGGAGCCTGATCGCGAATAAAGGCAGTCTTAATCTTGTAAAACCAGCGTCTAGCATGTTCTTCGACTTGGTCCCGTTTTGAAAAGAGGTCAGCCATTACCGACAACCTTCTTCTCTGCGCGCTGAAACCTGCCGTAGGTGCGTTTCCTGCGATTGCAACCTGCGGTCACCTAAGATCGCTTAAACCATACGTTACTGCTCGTTTTAGCTCGGTAAATCACGATATGATCCCACTGATTCCTTTTCGACATCTTGAATGCATTGTTCTTGCGAATTTGTAGACCTTTCGTGGACGACCGGGTGGCTTGCTTCTTGTTCTTCGCGATCGCGAACGATGTTGTCCATGGCGGCCTTGATGCACGTTTTTAGCTAGCTTGGCTCCACCGTGTTTGGCTTCTGTGAGGTCGGCATTGGAGTCAATCGCAAATCGTTATCGGCCAAGTCTATCCTGTCGCTCAGCAAAGCTTCTCCCGTCGATCCTAGCCTCATCCGTTGCATCCCGAGCGATTTGTATGAGTTTAAATTTCATTCTGCCGAGGCAAAGCGCAAAACCCCTGTAAATTCACCCTTCACGTTGCGGCCAATCGACTCGATCGCTTGGCCCAGGTGTTCTTATTTTAGAGTGTGGTCGATCTGCTTAATTCTTCGATCGGTTTTCTCCCCCCTACCTAACCTGTTAAACCGTCGAGTCGAGATACCTTATTTGTGCATTCATTCTCGAAAAAGAGCCGCCCTGCCTTAATCACTTGATTGTGGTTGTATTTTGAAAGTGTTAGTGCACAAAGCTCCCGCCGTAAATACTGCTTTTCTTAGCAGTTGAATAAGACGAAATAGAGCCTCCAGCTAATTTGACGTCGCTTTCGGTGGCGATGCCGGACCATGGATCGACCCTATCAGCTAAGGCTTGAACACTTTTACAACTGGGTCTTTTACAAGTGCTTCTTTAGATGTTGTTTCTAAAATTCCCAGGTGATCCGTTCCAAATTCCAGCCTTCTGATTCAGTACCATTTTTTGCTTTGATCGCTTGCTTGTTCCGATGTGTCTCCGCCGTCTTTGACTTTGACCACCTTCGAGTGGTCCCGTTTCAACGAGCCAGTCTGGTAGACTAGCGAAGCGACCTGCTCACGCAGTTGATCAATGCCCTGACGAGCTACAGCCAGCTCAATACGAAGAGAACGAGTCGAACGTTCGTTCTCAAGTTGCGCGAACGCAAAAGCGGCACGATCGTCCGAACGATCGTGCGTAAGGTAATTATAATTGTCCCTTACAAGGTCTTGAAGCCCATAACGCCGAGTCCGTTCAAGATCCAGGTCATCTTGCAACTGTTCCGTTAGAAGGTTCAGCACTTGAACATCAAGCTGATCCGACCCTCTAGCCGGATCAGGTGTTCCCGCCGCCACCATATCCATTGGTGGACTCAAGCGGTGGTCAACGCTTCCTAGAGGAGCGTATTTCGAACCACCGCGATGTGAAAGGCGTCCGGATGAGCTACCTCGTCCGCTGGCGTGGCTATCTACCGGCGTAAGACAACTGGGAGCCTCATGCCCAGCTGATTGTTGATGTCATTGGTCTCATCGAGCAATACAACGAAACCCACGCACTGCGTTTGAAGAAGGGCCATCGGAAGACGACATCCATAAACGCGAGTACAGGAATTGTAAGGTGTCAATCACTTCGACCATCTCGGAAGAAATGCACGCCCTCCAGTAGGGATCACTAACGAGGAAGGCCTCCCTAGGGCACGGTTCGAGTTGTCCAGGCAATCTTAGCACGAATCAACCCACGAGAGAAAGGGTAATCCTGCCTATCTTGAAAGTCAGTGCAACTTGCATCGCGCCCCGAATGGGTTTCATTTCTCAAACCTGATGCGAGCTGCATCAAGTTTGGCGAGCCAGGACTCACGGCCAATGCACTCAATGTTATAAATGAGAGCATTCCATCCTTGCACAAAGGCTTTCCGTCTCGACACGGCTGCCATTGTACCACCGATGTTCGAAAACGCATCGGCGAAGAATTCTTCCTCAGCACGGATAGTTTCCGTGCTGGAATTAGGTGGGCAAATCCTCCTATAATCGAACAACAAAATTCGATCCCGATCGGTAGTCATGCCGGCCAACCTGTCCAACTCCCTGAATGGCGGCATCCATGTACACTCCACTTGGGGAGCGTGGCGCAGAACTTTGCGGTCCCTGGCCTCTTGATTAGTGCCAGCATGACCACTGGCACCAGTGTCACCCCGATCCCTCGAGTAACTTCGCTAGTGGTGATGTATAGGTGCATCACCACCAACCCCACGCGTCCTATCGTTGGATGGACTTTCGTGAGGCGAAAAACATGTCGAGATATTCGCTCACTCCGAGATCTCGGACATGATACCGCCACGTTGACCAGAGCCAGTCAACCTGGCTCTTGTAGTGTCCACGTCGGGTAAATCTGGAGGCGTGAGGTGTCGTCTTCGAGTCGGATACATCATCAGACTTGCCAGAATAGATGAGCTCTATTTCAGAATCATCTGTATTACGACGCGCGGTACCCGCTGCAGACGCAGCGGATGTACCTGTCGCACGTGGTGACTTACCACGTGGACTGTTGACATCAGCAGGCGACGAATCACCTGCTGCTGATGTGTGAGATGCAGTTTCCGTGGCTGTGCACATGCGTGCAGCCGTCTTTCTTGATGCTGCAGTAGCAACTCGCTCGGTTTTCAAATCCATGCTTTAAAATGGCAGATGAATGGGATTTGACCAACAAGTGCTTCATTTCCCAAAGTTATTCAACGGTGGTCACCCTGTCTTAATCAATTCGATTCAATCAACGGGTGATTGATGGCTAAGGGGGGGGGTGATGTAACGGCTTAGGCCGTTACATGATGTTGACACCAAACGGTGTCAATAGAGAGGTTGTGTCTAGCATGACAATATCCTACCAATATTATCCTCCTTTCGATGATATTCATGGGCTGCTACAAGATTGGTTGATAGTGAAATACATTAACCATAGATTGCCACTAATCGCTGCTAGACGCGCGCAATGAGTGGTGAGCAGGTTGTCGTCATATGACGACGCAGTTTAATATAGTTAAATAAGATTTAAGTTATATTGATAGCTTAACTACATTACATGCAGTTCTCTTTTTACCCTTTCCCTCAAACTAGCTGTTTGAGTAAATTAGCTTCCTATGCACGTACTAGTGTACGTGAAGTTTTGTGGCACCCGAACAGAGGGTGCCTTGTAACAAAGTGCTTATGCCTACAGCAGCCCATCCCGAGACGGATGGGCAAACGGAGCGCGTGAACAGAGTTCTTGGAAAGGTTTTGCGAAATTATGCGACTTCTTACACTTCGTGGAGTTCGTTTCTTCCATTTACTAAATTTGCCATCAACTATGCCGTGCATGCATCATTGGGATTGATGCTGTTTTTCATCAACAACACAAGAAACCCTCGCTTTTTGACGCTTCTATCTATCTCAGCTACAGAGCAACCAGTCTCCAAGCTTGGTGGGGAGTACCTGCGAATGGCGTCGCTCCGAAAAGCTTGATGATTGACTCTGACGCACATTAATTTACTGCTGATGCAGCCATGGCCGTTCATATTGGGGCCAACGGCGTATCGAGTCCTGACTCGATGCAAACCATCGCTTCTCCCGTTGCGAATTCTGCCCACAAAGAGTTTACTTCGCCAATAAAATAGCATTAGTTACGGAATATCTGCTATTCCGACAAGGCATCACTAGTTTTGTGCGTGATGCATTTAAGACGCAGTTGACTAGCAGAAGGAGAATGCAGACCGAACAGGTCGAAAAAATGTGTTGACATTTCTTGAAGCCACAGCGTTCGCTGTCAACTTGCGGACTTCTTAACACGACAATGACAAACTTAGACGCTACTACATCGGCGCCTATGTATGTTGGTCCGTTTTGTGTAATTAAGGTTCATGGGGATGCCTACACGCTAGTAATAACTACTGCAATGCGTCTGCACTCGACATTCTACGTCGAGATCGGGCGCGCAACGCAGGATTGTCGATCGTATCGTCGATCACGAGGATCGAAATTGATTTGCGCCGAGTGAAGACTCGGTGCCCGCGAAGAACTCGATCGAAGGTCGTTACTAGGTTCAATGGTTGGAATATTTACCGGCAGACGATACATGGTAGCCTCGAGATTCACTGGTTGAGGATGTTCCTGAAGAGTATGTGAATTAGGATTCAACAAGAGACTGGCGACCGCGACCAATATTGCCGCCTTCACCCACGATCTCGCGGTCACGGCACTCGCGAGTATCTGCAGCTCGACAACGACCTCCAGAACGATTTTAGATCTATTACGAGTCTTGCAAAAATATGGATCACACTATCGCCTATCCCGACTGCGTGAGCACTCGCGATTATCTGTGGGCGTTCTCGCATCCGGCGCGGCTCTAATAAGTGGACCTTCCAGATAGTTCTTTCTAAGCGAGCGACCCGTAATTTAATAAATTGAGACACTATCACGTGCACTCGGTCATTCCACCCTGCTATGTCGGACATGGGCTGCTAACGTTGCACGTGAGACACTCTTTGAGGACATGAACATAACACATGTTCATCTCGTCGCACGTCACACGACTCACGCGCCGATGCAATTAGCCAACAGCGTAATCTCCGTGCATGCCTTCGCGCCGGTCCAACCAAGATGTACAAAAGACTTCACGTCGGCTCGCGTTACAGTGCTTTGAAAGGCACACCACGATCGTTGCAGTGTGTCATCGGTCGATGTGTTGTTGGTCGCCTTGTTTCTTGCTCTGCGGTATCGAGTATAGAGTGCAGTCCTGGCTTTTGGTAATTCTGGGTGATCGGATCCTTTTAGGCTGTAAAACCCCCACGAATTCATTTCTTCGTCTCCGACTCGCGGAGCCTGGATCTTTAACTCGTCACCTAATAAGTCCAGTTGCCGCTGCCAGGGGCGTCGTTGCGTGCGCGTTCAGAATTCATGCTGCTAAGTCGCACACGACTTAGCAGGTTCGAAGCTATGACACTGGATTTTCCTTTGGGCGAAACTAAATGCGATTTTTGCGCATATGTGGGGTGAGCGCAACTTAAAGAGGGAGGTGATGTGTTAGGGCAGCACTAATTCGTAATTAAATAGGGAGGCATAGGCAGTATCCGATAAGCGGGTACTACGCGTCGTAATAAGTTTTGGTCTGTTATTGGGGTGCCAGACACAATAAAGATGTAGGCTGAATCGACCTGAAATTGAGTGGTTCCTACGAGCAAGGGAACACTATCGTACTTAGTAAAAAACTAAAAAAGTTTTGTGTTACCTTACATAATTACAACGCTTCATAACAGCTCTATAGTATAAGACAGTAATGGGTATCGTACCCCTTCACAACCCAAAACTGTTCAGAAACAGGTGGGCAAATTTCTCGCAACGCGATTGAATGTCTTAAGACATGTACGCAATGCAACGGATGAAAGACAATACCAACAAAAATGCCAAGCAGATGCTTAAAACAGAGGTTCCATCTAATTTTATAAGGTTATATATATTAAGCATTACATTGCTAAAAACCTACCTACAAATTTAGTGTCCGCTGTCTTCAAGACATTGTTGTGTTCGTGCTTTTTTGGACCATTCACGGTCGTTGCTAAGAAGGGTCTTGCTTCTACGCTCAACCCCCGAACGCTGATTGCGTACGCATTCTATGTTATCCATAAACTTAATTAGGACGTATCAGGATCCGTCCTACGTGCTCTTCGAGGCGCTTGCGCCGCGAAGTTTGGCCTTGCCATCGGTTGCAAGTTCCGAATCAGGAACTTAAGCTAGGCATCTTATCGGGTGTGAACCGACTTCAACGCCTGAATGCAAGCTAGCGTTGCGTCGATCGAACTCCCGGTGTTACCTGATGTCTCACGGATACCATTCCGCCCGAGAAGTAGATTAACGTGCTTTTCCTTCGATACACCGACCTCCACCGACGCTGCACATGAGCAAGGAAAGCGCCAGTCCTTTGTAGGAAGACTCCTGAAACGACGTCGTCGTCATTGCCAATACCAGTATCTTTTATAGTGGCGTGGGTGCCGGATTTGGTGAACTCATGGAAGTATGACATTTCCTTCGGCAAGATTGCCCCTGCGTTATGGATGTTTTTACGTGGCGTGGCCAGTGTAACCTCGAGAACGAGGCCGTCCCCACCACTTGCGGTGTGCGTTGGCGGGTCGGTGGTCACAGTCTGACCAGCATTTGCGGATACCGTAGTAGCCGAAGCATAGCACGTGTGATTGCACAAATGGCCTCTGTCCTTCAGATTGGCATCATCATACCGAAGCTTGCGTTTGAGACGCACATCGTCCACCCTGAAACTAGCTATCAGAGCGTACATGATGCTTAGGCGACGAGTGCGGTGCACTCAGCGAATCAAGTTGTTA